CTATAGATTTCGTTCCGAGTTCCATCGGTGTGCTTGCTTGGGTTTTCATTTTGCAACAGTGCATTCTTTGGTTCGGAGTCTGAATTCTCCATGTCGTCAGACGCTTTGGCCTGGGGGGGTATTGTTGGCCCTTAGACGCTGGGTCGCATCTCCTATAAGGATGAGGTCAGTCGGCCTTGGATTTATGCGGCTGCGTTCTCCCTTGGGCGTGTGAGCGCTGCGACCAATAGATTTCGTTCCGAGTTCCATGGGTGTGCTTGTTTGGGTTTTCATTTTGCAACATTCTCAATTTTTGGTGCAATTTCTTCCGGTGGTGTATTGGCTACTAACTTTGCATTTGTATTGTATCTGTAGTGTATTCTGTATTGTAGTTAGATTGTAGGTACCTGTATTGTATTTCCATTGTATTGTACTGTATAACGTTCTATCCCTCATTAACAAATCCTAGCCCTCTCCTTTCCTAGCGAGATCTGCTCCAGACCTTCCCGTGGTTCTTGCTGAGCATCAACTATCGAGGACAGAAAATTCAAATTCAAAACCAGCAAAGTTTCACAAAAATCTTGAAAATCGCTCGTTGGTGGCCAACGTGGAGCAAAAGAGACTTTTGTTACTCAACTAACTTTGTTAACTTTGTATTCTTAAGGAAACAAAAATATATTACATTTAATTTATTATTTATAAGGACAAATAGTCATTTGCCACACCGATGCTCATTTTTAGATTAAATGTTCACACAACGCGTAGATGTTCAATTTGTGTCCGGGGAGATACAATGTTTGCAAGTAGGTACTTCGTACTTCGAATATGAGTATCCACTCAGTTTTATTCATACCACCCAATGTCTCGCTTCAATGTTTGACTATTATGTTGATTATGAGCACAACGCTGATCAACTTCCATATCCGAATTACCCATGAAATAAATCATTGCGATTTGCACCTGAGGTAGTTCGTCGCACATTTGATTGACTTCGTAGACGTATGTCAGCTTGTCGTCTTCTCGGCATAAAACGACACAGAATTATTTTCACCGTCAATCAAATCTGTAAATTTTGTCTTGAGAATTTTAAATATATTGAAAATTTCAAATTAAATCCTCGAATAACGGTAAAGTTTGAGGTTTTGTCGAAACCAACAAAGTGAATATACGTAAATAGAATGGCAGATCAAAATTAATAAGAAACTTTCGCAATGCGTAACTAAATTCACTTTAACGAACACTTTTCTTAAAATAAACGACGTTTCTTGTTACGAAAAAACAAACAACGACTTGAAATGCAATAATACTTTTCACAATCGCACGGAAGAAATAGTTTTGTATGACACGTCAGTTAGGCGACAGGTCCGTCAGAAACGCCAACTATTCAAATTCATTCGAAGTGGCGATTCCCATGCAAAATTTTTATTTATTTTTTAATCTTTTAGCCGTCTTATTTTTTATAAATTTTCTTACATATAAACCTTGTCCTGACAATAATGAACACGTAAAAAAAAAGAATCGTCCAATTCGGTGCAGCCGTTCTGAAGTTATGGGCGTACATACATTTCGGCGATTCATTTTTATTAATATAGATAGATAGATAGATGTGTTTTGTTGGAGTAACCAGTTCGCGGTATTCTAAACTCTCAAAGTAAATTGTTTTTTGAAGTAACCAATCACTTAGTTCATGATATAATTTGGCATAATGTAAACTCTTTGTTTGAATCGTTAATAAAGCGTGGCAAGTATTAATCTTATGTAAATTTTCTTAACTTTCCAATTTTTCACGTCTTACAGTATTTCTTTGTCTCACAATTTTAACCTCAGTAATTTTCTTTGTTGAATAATTTTGATTGAACGTAAATTTCATGCTCTACAGTTTTAACCTCACATAATGCTTATATTTGGACAAGTCTATTTCACACCAGATCTTTTGTTTTTCATAAATCTTTGCTAATTCTTGTTTTGTGAATATTTTGTTGATGCATGTTTCCATCGTATAAATTATTTGATATTCAATTTTTATCTCACATAAGAATTATTTGTTGTTTAAAATTTCACAAGATTGTATGGCGAATTTAAATGTTATTTATTGCTCTTTGAAACTTGTTCAGTTGTTGTTAATATCAGAGTTATAAAGAATTGAACATTAAAAATGGAATTGAGGTTAAATAACACAGAAAACGTGGCAGAGGCGGAGTGCGGTTTCTAGTCGAGCTGACGAGATCTTATCGCGTGGTCTGCACAAAGGGTGTACAGGTTTGGATAGATTCAGAGGCGGTTGCGATGTTGCAGTGCTCGTGACTTGGCCCAATAGTCGAGACCTAACTGCGGATCTGCGATCGTAATGGCCTAGTTTCGGACGGCATGTTCGTCCTAGAGATGTGTAATGTGTCGTACGGGTAGGCTTGCGATAGATAGAATCACCGTCGTAGGGGGAGAACAGCCCCGACCGGTCGCCCCAAACTCCGCTTGTGCTTGAACGCCCCAGAGGTACTTTTGTTGTGCTATTGTTAACTGTCATAACTTTAAAATTTCACGCCACACGCCCGTAATGACTTGTGTATTTGCATCCAGTTACTTTAATTCAGATTTTGCTTTGTTTTTATTAAATTTGTGATATTCAAATATTTCCATTGATTCCAAACAGATGTATAGGATTTTGTGTTTGTTCGTTTTTCATATGTGTAGTTGTCTTTTCTTTCAAATTTTTAAAGTGTTTCATTTGAAATGTAATATGTCGTGAATATACGATAGGGGATTTTTGGAACTGAGGAATGAATACTCGCAGCTTCTTTCCTTCTGCGAGAGGTGCCATTTTAGCCCCTCCAAAAAAATTTTCTCTTTTCCCGTCACTTTTCAAAAAAAAAAATACAAGGTAGGTTTCCATTTTGTTAGACGATTAGAGGCCAAATTTTTTATTTTTTAATTTTTCGCGGGTCTTTCAAACTTTTTCAAAGGTCAATTTAAAGCCGGGAAGTTTGGGTTATCACAATATTATCAATAAAAAACACAAAATTTGCATAAGAAAGGGAGAGAGAGAGAGAACTTCCCTCGCACCTTCAGTACTTCAGTACAATTCACCAAATCCCGCTTCTTCGAAAAATGATAAAATTTGATTTTGGGAAATTTCAGTTCTTTTTTTTCATTATAAACCCTAGAAATTAAAAACTACAGAAAATACCAGTAACAGCGCCGTATAAAAAAAAATGGCGAAAAGATAATCGAACCCATGACCTTCGCGCAACAATGTATTGGAAGTATGTAACCAATACGTAAAAAATTGTGGTGACCGGATTTGAATTAAAATCGCATTTGAATAATTTGAATAAAAAAATGCAATCAAGAAAATTGTTAAACATAGGCAACCATGTGCATGTGTAGTTTTTTTGGGTAGTTAGTAGCTCTCCTAGGGAATTTCTGTTGAGAGGGTTGGTAGAAGTTGATTTGGCGGCTAGAGGGGTGAGATCCGTCACTGTTGTTTTGTGGTGTGTGTGTGAAACCACGTGTTGAGTTAGCTAGGTTAAGTTTAGTTGGTTTGGTAGTTAATAAAAAAGAGAGAGCCTTTGTTTAACGAAAATTTATCGTAGCGATTGCGATGCCACTGTTTTCCCCAACAAGCGTAGCTAATTCTTGCGGTTTTTCCAAGCGGAAATATGCCAATTTTCAACCGACGCTAACACGTAGTGTAAATTTGTTTTGTTGTTGTAAATTCACAGTTCATGTCAGGATTTTAATCGTTAACTGGTGCTAACACAATTTAACAGTCAGATAAAGTACTTGTTAGGAGATTCATTAGATTCACGAGACTCATCCTTTGTTTATCAGATTATGAATAAGGTTTCTCTTATACTTACGTGTTACATTCTAACACTTCTTAATTCTTCGCACAAGATTGCTAATAGTTCATGAAAATTCCTTGTTTGAATCTTTGATAAAGTGTGGCGTAATTTAACATCAGCTAAATTCTTTGTTCTGGCAGAGGCCATGTTGAAAGAGTATTTTCAAACCGAGCATGTGCTCAGTAACTCTAAAATCTCATTGAACAAATTAACAAAATTGTGAGTCATGTGGGACGTGCATTTTATTCCTTTGATTTAGACCATTATTTGCACATCGCCATAGGATTTATCACATTTCTAGGAGACATATTTTCGACGCATTTTTTTTTTGCACAACTCCACTTGCATCTGAACGCATTCCGCCACAAAAAAAAAACAAACATAACGTAGGTTACATTTTGTTAGACGATCACAGCCAAGACCAAATTTTTGAATTTTTGAATTTTTCTCGGATTTTCATTTTTTTTTTCACATGTCAATTTAAGACGGGATACGGCCGTGGGCGCGATATCTGGCCGAAATTTGAAAAATTTCAGTTTTAAAAAAGTCGTCTAAAAATTCTGAAAAAAATCAAGGACGTAGATCTCGACACGCTGATTACAAAAATATAGGGTGTCGATGGTTACGAAGCAACATTTTCGAAAGAATCGATACGAAATTCGAATTTTTGAGAATTTCTAAAAATTTCGATAGATTCCGGAAAAACGATTGCAGTTATCAAAGAATCGAGGCCGGAAGTGAGTTCTAGAGCTCTAAATCTACCAGAAAATGTGCTTAGTTAAGTTTCGAAAATGTCAAAAATTGACCGAAATTGAAGAAGAGGGGAAAAACTTCAGTTTTAAAAAAGACGTCAAAAAATTCTGAAAAAAATCAGGGACGCAGATCTCGACACGCTGATTACAAAAATATAGGGTGTCGAAGGTCACGGAGCAAAATTTTCGAAAGAATCGATACGAAATGCGAATTTTTGAGAATTTCTAAAAATTTCGATATTTTAACGGTCGATTCCAGAAAAATGGTTGAAGTTATCAACGAAACGAGGCCGGAAGTGAGTTCCACAGCTCGAAATCTACCAGAAAATGTATTTAGTTAAGTTTCAAACATGTCAAAAATTGGCCGAAATTTGAAAAAATCTTGAAATATATAAAAACAGGAATCATCGTCAGCGCACTTTATAATCATCAATCAAATAAAATCAACATTGACAAGTAGAAATAAAACTCAAAACATGTCGAAACTTTTACTTTTTTGCAGCGTCACTATTTTCCAACTTTTCCATTTCCTCTACGTCAGCACTGACGCTCCAGCTCTGCTCCTCTCCAGAAGTAAAAATGAAGGAAAAGACGGCCGCGTACGCATTCACACCTACTAGAATCCAGAAAATGGAAGCCCACTCCTCGAAACCTTGCTTCTCCTTAGTGAAGAAAGCCACAACTTCTGTGGTAGCATAACCTATCAAAGCTCCAGGCACTTGACTAATACCAAGGATCGTCCCCGAAAAAGCGGGCGATATGTCTACCGGATTCGTGTACACGCCTGCTGTAATGAAACCCATTAAACCAAAAGATCCTGTGAAAACTAACACAGACACTATTCTATTGTAACCCCAAAATGCTTGCAGCGTAAAGAGACATCCAGCACCTGCGAAGGACGAAACATTGAAAAATTTTCGAATAGTCGTGGTCGAAAATTTTCCGCTTTTTTTGAGTTTGTCGGCGATTATGCAAGACGACAGTGACACGAAGTATCTGACTAGAAATAGAAAATTAGTTGCGTTTAACACAAACCGCACTTTTTACCTAAATAAGGTAAACCGGAAAACCATCCGTTCGCTTTGATGTTGAAATGGAGCACCTGACTCATGTAGGTTGGTAATTGATTGAAAACCACGAAGAAAGTGCACCCAATACAAATGTTGCCCATTATCACCGACCATACTGGTCCTGAAGTCAACATTTTCATCCAAGGAATTGGAGGTTTCTTCAGTGACGTGTTGACAGGTTTTATGTCCCGTCGAAGTTTTTCCTTCTCGGTGGTACTTATCCTTGGATGTTCTTCAGGTGAGTCGTAGATCAAGTAAAACCAACACAGGGACCAAGTTAGAGCGATGCTCCCCATAACGTAGAAAACGCTAGCCCAGCCCCAGTAAGCTATCAGGTAGCCATAAACGGGCAACGCGACGGCGACTCCCAAAGAACTAGCTACCATATGTGACATAAAAGTAGCAGTGTCAGCTGGTGCTATCCATTTCGTGTCAATGGGAGGCGTCGAAGGCCAGTGTATGCCTAAGGACACGCCCAGACAAAATCTAGCCACGACGAGCCAAATGTAACCCATATGGGCTGCTACGGGTGTGAGCAGGGTCAAAATGCTGGCACTCAAAAGACCAGTTCCTACGACAATCTTAGCTCCTAATTTCTCCGAAAGTCTTCCTCCAGGAATTTGGGTTATAGCGTAACCCCAGGAAAAGTAGCCTAAAATATCGTTCTTTTCCTCCTCGTTCCAGTTGTAGCGTGGACCGTGGTCTTCTTGAGTAACGTTGGAATTGTTTCTGAAGACCATTTCGACTATTGCGATTGAAATGTTCACTCGGAGCATGTGGTGGATCATGAAGCCCAAAATGACAGTGATTGTGAGGATGCGTTGGCATGTTAAAATTTCTAAAATTGGAGTTTAACTGTAGGTATAGGGTTTTGGACACGTACTTGTGGGCATTTTCTTTACGTAGTGCTATCAAAGACTGATTCGCCTGTCAAGACGGGTGAATAGGATTGTGAAAATAAATATTTAAAAGGAATCCTAGCCGGCGGTAAGTGCTCTAAAAGTGTTAATAAATTAAAAATATTTGATTTATTTGATTATTTGTGGCACCAACGACTGATTTACATTAACTTATCATTAAAACGTTTTTTAAATTCCCGTTTAATTTGGGTCGTTATTTGTCTGCAGCAGACAGATATGTATTAGGACCACTCACATTTGTTGATCTTTCTCTATTGTTAAAATTTTGTTGGTGACGTATGTTTGCAAGGTTTTATATTAAAAGTGCTACACTTTTGTGCGTGCAGCAGTTGGTATCTCGAAGTACCCGTTCGGTGAAACTGAAAGCCACCAACTGAATTTAATTTGCTTAGATTTTAAAGACTTACTTAAAGACACTCAAAATTTTTTTTCCTTGATTATAACTATTCTAGTTACTAGTGTTTCATTGATACATTTTTATTGTCAATTGCCAATTTAATTTATAAAACGTAAAATTAACCAAAATTTGTCTGCATCCCCACCATCAATGGAATAACGTCATCTCCAAATTTTGCGTTGCTAAATGTTATTTACATTTTATAAAATGACATACTCCTCCACGTGCAGTTTATGAATCCGTGTTGGGTGTTAACCCTAGGAATCAAGAAATATAAAAAAATCGAAAAATTTTGCAGACCAAAAAAAACATGGAAAGCTCGATAAATCCGGAAGTCGAAAAATCGAATCACCAAAAATTAATACTATAATTAATAGTGTTTATATTCGACACATCAAATATTGTTTACATTTTTGTAAAATATTTTACGACAATAATTCAAATTGACATTTAGTTTTTCATAAAATAATATTGGTTGCATACTTCCAATGCATTGACACAGTGTGACACAGTATAGAGATCATCAACACAAGAGACGATTAGTAAGAAGAGAAGAAGGTTGGCACACAACAACCACCCAAAGGGGCGAGATGGGCAGAAGTGGGGGTGAAAGTGGACAGCCGCCATTTTTTGGTTACCCTCCAACCATGTTTTTTTTACTGGGTGCTGTTTCGTGGCGTCTTTTCAAACCAGGCGTTTGCGCCGTGCTTGGAGTCCTAAAACGCTGTGGGGCCCACTCTTTGCGATTTTTCTCTATCTCACAATGTTAGACTCAGTAATTTTCTTTGTTGTATGATTTAAATTGAACGTAAATTTTCATGCTCTGCAATTTCTAACCTCACGTAATTTTTTATCTAAATACACAAGTTTCACTTTACACCGAATCTTTTGTTTTTATAAATCTTTGCTAGTTTTTTTCATATAAATTATCTGATGTCCAATCTTAATCTGAAATAAGATTTATTTGCTGTTTAAATTTTCGCGAGAGTGTATGGCGATTTTAAATGTTGTTAATTGCTCTTTTTTGAAATTGAACATGTAAATGGAATTGAGGTACATATTTAATACAAAAACACGTGGCGGAAGCGGAGTGCGCGGTTCCTTGTTGAGTTGACGATCGCGCCATCTGCAAACAAGATGCAGATTTAGAATAACAGTCAGGTCGGGATGACGTGACGCTCGCAGCTTGGCCCAATAGCCGGGATTTCCTACCACGAGTTTGCGACCGTAACGGCTTGTCTCCGTGCGGCACGTTTCTTGGTAATAGAGGCGTGCTGGGTTGCATGTGCTTGCGATAGAATAGCATGACTTTCGTGGGTAGGAGAACAGCCACGACCAGAAGCTCCAAACTCCGCTCGTGCTACAACGCCATCTATGGGTAATTTTGCTGTGCTCGAAAATGAAATTGATATAGTTCGATCGCCTTTTATAGCGACTCGGGTGCTGCCATCCATTTTACATTATGTGTAGGGTTTCTGCGGTTGTTCAGTTTTCCATATGTATATGTCTGTCAACTCGCGTTTGTCTCTCTCTTTCATGTGTTATGTGTTTCATTTGTGATGTATTAGATGTGGGTAAATAAACCCTAGGGGTTTTTGTAGCTGAGAACCGGCCCTCATTGGGCAGCCTGATAGCACGTCACGGGTCACCCTCGCACATGTTTTCCTCCTAGAGAGGGTGTGCGATTTATAGCCCTCTCTCAAAAATGTTGTCTTTTATTTTTTGTGCTCTCGACTCGCCCGCAGTGTATACTCACTTGTATGAAAGAACCTCTTCTTGCTACTTTTCAAAAAAAAAACACAACGTAGGTTCCATTTTGTCAGACGATCACATCCAAGGCCAAATTTTTGAATTTTTCGCGAGCTTTTCAAACTTTTTCAAGTGTCAGTTTAAGGCAGGAAGTTTGGGTTATCACCAACGCGCGGAATTGTATCTCTATGCTAGATCCAGTGCTGTCGCGGCGATGGTTTGATTACAAATATATTTTTCTTTTGGACTACATCAACATAATATAACATTTCAAGATCACAGATCTGTGGTCCTGTAGTTGAAAAATTAAAAAGGGCACTAAGTATTATTATTTGAAGTGATATAGTAATATAGAAGTAGTTTTTTTACTAGCTGTAAACACTCCTAGCGACGCACTGGCGACGATCTTGTGGACCAGATCAAAGCGTCCCCGCTACTCGCGGTACAACACACCTTACTTCAAGTGGGGGATTGCAGCGGTGAGACAAAATCCCGCGTACTGGTTATCACACATTTGGTGCCGCGTGCCCAGCATACAATCTCTGCATACTGCGGTAGAGGGATGCATTTAATGTTGCATAAATACGCACGTGTTCTGTTTGGAAAGGGCTAAAGTTGACCTACGGCAAGAACCATAGCCAAAAAGAGGGACGGCAGCAGCGACGACCGTAACCTCCAGGTCATGGACGTGTGGCCATACCACACACAAGCCACGACCTCCGAGAGACGCCGAAGAAGCCCCAACGAGGAACGAGAGCGATCCTCAGAAGGACGCTCGAGAAACCCCAACCGGGAACGCGGAAGACCGCGAGAGAGACGCGAGGGGCACCGACCGGACGACGCTACAGGTCCCAAGAGCGGCACCGATGCAGGTCCCATGACCGGGACTGGAGGCAAATCGCGTTGGACCTCCAGCAGCAAATGGCGGTGCTACCGATGCTCACTGCGGCGACATCGTTTCACGAGGTCGCCGCAGTTCAGGGATTTCAACACCATTTTGCGTGAAGTTTCACTTGGTGATCGCCATTCTCAAACGCACAAACATTGTGGGAGACGATTTAGAACATAGCTTCTCCACGCTTCAGCAACGCTTTTCAGATCCCCCACCAGATTTCGGGAAGCTGCTCTCTTTTGCCCCATATTTCTATCTCAATCTTAGGTAGGGAACTCCTGGCTCTGCTCGATTCGGGAAGCGAGGTGACCTGCATGAACGAGGAGGAATTTTCTGCACTTTAGAGTGGTCGCAAAATCGCGACGCTCCCAGTTTCTTCCACCTTCATCGAGCCGCGCCGGGTCATCAAAGCCACCGGATTAAAACGCAGGCAATGCTTCCCTAATTTACCTTGAGATGCAAAAATAAAGTAAATTTATACGTGAACGTCATGCTTAAAAGGGTTTGTTTTATTGCGTCCTGTCAGAATTTTTTCAACTTGATTTTTTCAGCACAGCTGTCTAAAGAATAGAATAAATGACCCAAGTTAGTGTCCCTAGATATACTAAGTGTAACTTTTTCCTAGAGTTTTTTATAGACAAACAATAGCCCCGCCCACCCATCCCCTTTTCATTCCAGTTACTACTCTTAATATTGTTCAGTTTTATCGTTGCAAGTACTAGCCCCGCCCACCCGCCCTCTATTTTTTTCCAGAGTATATTACGTGCCAAAATCAATCTTATCTTAACAAGTACTATCCCCGCCCACCCACCCTCTTCTCGTTCTAGCGACTAATTTTATTTCTGCATAAGATCTACCTTTTATTCAGACCAGATAAAATTAATCACCAAAATGGAGGCGGGTGGGTGGGCGGGGTTCAGGTATATGTTCTTTTGTAGAGTAGGAGTGAAAACTAATCGAAATTAGGCTAAGTAATTTTTTTATTGTTGTATTATTTGTCATAAGATTTATTTCTCATTTTAGAAAAAAAAAAGGAAGAACGGGTGGGTGGGTGGGGCTAAGGTTAACTTCTTCCTAGAGTCTTTTAAAGGCAAGCAATAGCCCCGCCCAAAGTATATCTAGGGTCTCTAACCCAAGTGGTTGTGGTGACCGAATTTAAATCAAAATTTTCGCGCTGAAATTAATTAACAGCGGCGCGAAATCACATTTGAATAATTTGAATTTGAAAGAGAAAAAAAAAATTAAATCACAAAAAAAAGAAATCGTTAAATATAGGCAACCTAATATGCAGGTTGCGCTAGGGGATTTTAGTTAGAGGATTGGTAGAGACAGAAGGCAGCATGTTGAAAGGTGATTCATTATCTTTTTGATCGGTGTAGTGAGTGGATGCATGGTGAAAAAACGCTGTAAGTGGCTAGGTTTAAATTAGCTGGTTTGGTAGTTAATAAAAGGGAAGAAGCCTTTGTTTAACGACAATCAATTGCAACCGACGTCGCTCAGTTCTCCCCAACCTGCGCGGCTAATTCTTGCGGCCTTTTAATCGAAAAAGTGCGGACTTCTGTTCAATGCGAAACACGTGCTGTAAATTTATTTTATTGTTTGTAAATTCGACAATCAAGTTAGTTTTTCTTAATCGTCAGCTAGTGCAAACACAATTTAACAATCAGGATTATTTAAATAAAGCACTTGCTAGAAGATTGCATGAAATTCACTTAGTCAGGAAAACACCTTTGTTGTTTAATTACGAATAGGTTTCTGGATGCATATACGTAAGTGTTACATTATAACAGTTGTTAATTCTTCACACAAGATTGCGAATAGTTCATTTCCGGCAGTTAAACAAAATTCATTATACTGCGAACTGGCGGGGGGTTAAAATAATTCTTCCTTTAGGCGGTTATCATAGTTATTATCGTCGTTATCATGATTACATTATCGAGACTTGTCCTCGCAACGCTCAAGATTGATTACATCATTGATGCTTGCCCTCACAACGTTACAGATTGGTTACATCATCGAGGCTTATCCTCACAACGCTACAGATTGATTACATCATCGAGGCTTGTCCTCACAACGCTACAGATTTATTACATCATCGAGCCTTGTCCTCACAACGCTAGGCGAGGCTTATTCCTCGCAACGCCAAAATAATACATCATCGAGGTATTCTCTGGCAACGATAAAATTACATCACCGAGACGTTTTTTCCTGGCAACGATTGGATATTTTTGTGTTTATTTAATGTGTTCGCGGTATTTTAAATTCTCAAAGTAAATTGTTTTTAAGTAACCAGTCACTTAGACCATGATATAATTTGACATAATGTAAACTCTTTGTTTGAATCGTTGGTAAAGTGTGGCAAATATTAATCTCATGTAAATTTTGTTAACTTTGCAATTTTTCACCTCATACAATATTTCTCTAATCTCAGTTTTAACCTCAATAATTTTCCTTTGTTGTATAATTTTCATTGGACGTAAATTTCATGCTCTACAGTTTTAACCTCACATAATATTTTTATTTGTACAAGTTTATTTCACACCAGATCTTTTGTTTTATAAATCTTTACAAGTTTTGTTTTGTAAATGTTTTGTTGATGAATGTTTCCATCGTATAAATTATTTGATATCCAATTTTATCTCCCATAAAAATTATTAATTTGTTGTTTAAAAGCTCACAAGATTGTATGGTGAATTTAAATATTGTTTATTGCTCGTTTGAAACTTTAACACTTGTTCAGTTGTTGGTAATATCAGAGTCATAAGAAATTGAACATTTAAAAATGGAACTGAGGTTAAATAACACCGAAACACGTAGCAGAAGCGCAGGGCGCGGCTCCCAGTGGGGGCTCGCGGAATTTATCGCGCCATCTGCACAAGGGTTGCAGGCTTTGAATAGATTCAGTGGGAACGGTCTGGACGATGAGATGTTGTCAGCTTGGTTTCATCCCTAGTTTTCGGCCGAAACGGCCTGGTTAGGACAGCATGTTCGTCATGGAGATGTGCTGTGCGGGGGAGACCAGCCCGAATCGGTAGCTCCAAACTCCGCTTGTGCTAGAACGCCCCAGGGGTACTTTTGTTGTGCTCCTGTTAACTGCCGTAACTTTAAAATCTGCCGCCACACGCCCGTAATAACTTGTGTATTTGCATACAGTTACTTTAATTCAGATTTTGCTTTGTTTTTGCTAAATTTGTGATATTCAAATATTTGCATTGATTCCAAACAGCTGTATAGGATTTTGTATTTGTTCGTTTTTCATATGTGTATGTCCATCAATTCGCGAGTGTCTTTTCTTTCATATTTTTAAGGTGTTTAAAATGTAATATGTCCGTGAATATACGATAAGGGGTTTTTGGGGCCGAGGAGTGAATCCTCGCAGCTTCTTTCCTCCTGAGAGGGGTGCCATGTTAGCCCCTCCAAAACAATTTTGTCTATTATTTCTTGCGCTCTTGAATCACACGTAGTGTATGCTGACTTGTATGAAAGAACGTCTTCCCGCCATTTTTCAAAAAAAAAAAACACAACGTAGGTTTCCATTTTGTTAGACGATCACAGCGAAGGCCAAATTTTCAATTTTTGAATTTTTCGCGGGCATTTCAAACTTTTTCAAGGTCAATTTAAAGGCGGGAAGTTTGGGTTATCACATGATTATAAAATTTTTCTAGTTATTTTTACCGAATCCAGTGAAAACACTGAAATAAACAAACTAAAAGTGGTAAATTCTTCAGCTGGATGAATTAAAAATCAACAACACATGGATACAGTTTTAGGTATTTTTTCTATAAAAGAAAACCCTTCAAGATCAAGTACTTAGTAATTAACAACAAAAATCAAAATTTGACACTGACAGTGACAACCGGCCATGGACGAATCTACGTCCATTCTCCGTGCTGAAACATCCTCTCAGCTCTCCAGCACCGAAGACCTCCTCCAAAATGTAGTCCTCATGGCTGAAATCGGCATCGACCTAAAAGAACGTTGCAACATCGCCGAAAAATATGTAGCGCATCTAAAACTCCTCTTTTCTCAAGCCGCGCGAACCATCGAAGGACTCCAGACCACCTCGAAATGCGCACTACAACAAGCCAAAAAACTCCTAAACGGAACCACACCGCTCGCCGGAAGCTCCGGCGTCAGAACCGACTACGAAAAATTACTTGCAGTGATCGATAAACAACTGAACGACTTCGACGACTTGAAACACATAGAACTGGAAAACGACAGCATCCGTTTGTCCGATCTCACCGAGAAAATCAAGTTATTAGAAAACCGACAGAAACTGTCCGACAACAATCTGCCACCATCTGGAAGCAACAAAAGCCTTAAGTGCGACGTCGACGAGAAATATCCAGAAAACTGGTCAAGAGATTCAACTATCGATTTAAACAACGTCATGAATTTGCCGCCGGTTCCTGAAGATGTTTTCAGTAGTTTTAGTTCGGGGCAGAAGCCGAAAAGGTCGTCGAGTTTGAGCTCGTTGAAAAGCATGAGGAAGGTGAAGTTGTTCTTACAGAGGGCCGAAACGTCGGATGAGGAGGACATCAGCTCGGATAATGAGGATCACGAACTAGGACAAAAGGTATTCCCCGATCATGGCGCCACTACGGCCACATAAAATCCACGTCATTTTTGATAACTGTGTATGCAAGTGAACATTTTTAGGGCGACAGCGACGACGGGAGCTCCTCCAAGAAATACCTGGGCAACATAAAAGAAGAAACTCAAGATCAACACATCTCATAATTTATTGAGTACAAAAGTTAAAAAGAATCATCAAAGCTTATATTCCCAAACCCTTGAGTAGGATAACTGTGCCTAACCGGATTACTAGCGATAGCTCTAATACACTTATAAAACAATATAACAACAACTAAAAATAATAAATACTGCGGTAAACTGTAATCGAAAATGATCGCAACAATCCACCCTAGTATCAAATAAATCCAGAAACTGTAACTCGCAAAAACTCTCAAACTAACTCTGGGTGGTAGCTCCGAACTGACTCTTGGTGATCCAGGTTTAGTTTTATCGTACTTGTAGATCGTGATTGGCGGACATAAAATTTGGCGCGAAAATCTCCCCCAATAGCTTTGGTCGTAGTACAACTGACAGAACTTGTACTGGAACTGAAACACCCATTATTTCTAATTCTAACACTACATAACACCATACATACCCTTTCGTTTATATGTTGAGACAACTGATAAAACATTCGCACTAAAAACGTAATTTCAGTCGATCTGATTGGATGCAGGTCCGGATCCCCTTCATATTTTATCCTTTTTATTCTTTCGCGCACTCTCTCTGGTGTGAGAAATTTGAAATCGTTCGATATTTCTAAGCCACTCGAAGGAGAAGATTTTTCTTGCGAATTGTCAGAATCGGTTTCTGGAAGCTAATTTGAAGAGTGAATAACAATCCAAGTTAAAGTTTTAATTTATACTTCTGAGATTTGGAAAAGTTGTTGTAAGTGCTCCAGAGATTTATCTAGGTATTCTGGGACTTTCAGACGTTCGTTTAGACTAAACTCGTCGGAGGTTCTTGGTGGTTCCCAAAGGAGCTTAAACAGGCCAAAAAAGCTTCCGTGCAGTTCTTGTTCTTCTTGTCTTTTGATTTGCACCAGTTCTTGTGCAACTCTTATGGATTTCTTTATTTGCATAATTAATTCAAAGACCTAGATTGAAAGGTAAAGACGAAAATAAAATCTCCATGTAGTTTTCAGTAGAAATATAAATGGGACAAAAATGACAAGGAACGTTTTTCAGTGTCACAACTATTTGATGCACAAAAAAAAAAACTAAAATATCACGACCTCACACCAGTGTTGCCAAAAATGTTATTTTGAACGGGGAGTGTAAACTTCGAAACTTTTAACGATCAACCCATCAACTGTTCCCTGATCAATCACCTGTTTGTTTCTTAATATTCGTACGTAGAATTCTTTGAACAACACGATACTCAAAAACATTTTTTTATTTCTTGTAGAGAAGTAAGGATTTTGCAATTAAGCTCCGCCCCCTTGGATCATGACGAATAAAAGAATCATCACAATTGAGATAGGGCTGGTGGGCGAGGCATACATTTTGCCTTTTTTTCTTAATATGTGTATGTAGTCATCTTTTCACAACAAGAAACTTATAACATGTTTAAAATGGTAAATTTGTATAAGGAAATATCGATTTTGCAATTAGGCTCCGCCCCTCGCTCTGACAACGAATGAAAAATTCGCCACGATTGAGATCGAGACGGATGGGTGGGGCTTCTCTTTTGGTTTTCTTTTTTAACTAATACATTTAGTTTTCTTTATATAACACGATTACTTAAGAATATACACTGACCGGCAAAAAAAACCGGCCACCCCGAAAAATTTCGCAAAACCACTTTAAAAATTATTAATTTAACTAGTGATCGTTATTTTATTAAACCACCATTCACTAGTGACACATGTTGCACAAATTAGCAAAAAAAGAAGACATATAAACACAGAATTAAATTAAATTTAACAAAATAAAAACAGACCAAGTACGATATTTTCTATAAAACCATAAAGGAGGATGTTGTTGTAAACAGTGTCTTTCATCATTTGATTATAAGTTTGGCAGTTAATAAATATTTTCACGTGAAAATAAAGCCCTTAACTCTTAGAGACGTCTCAAATTGTCGCTCTGTTTCTGTTATTTTGTTCAATTTAATTTAATTCTGCGTTTATTTGTCTTCTTTTTTTTGCTAATTTATACATCATTTGTCAATAGTAAATGGTTCTTTAATAAAATAACGATCACTAGTTAAATTAATAATTTTTAAAGTTTGGTTTTGCGAAATTTTTCAGGGTGACCGGTTTTTTTTTGCCGGTCAGTATATTTCACATGGTAATTTCTCATAGAAAAATAAGAATTTTTTAATTAAGCTCCACCTCTCGGCTTACGACGAATAAAAAAAAACATCAGAATTGAGACAGGATGGGTGGGCGGGGCGTATATTTTGCCTTTTGTTTTCTTAATATACATAGCCATCTTTTTATAACAAGAAACTTAAAACATGGTTAAAATGGTTTTTGCGAGCAAATATGAATTTTGTAATTATGGAGCGAAACCTAATTGCAAAATCGATATGTCCTTATACAAATTCTCCATATTAAACATGTTTTAAGTTTCATACTGTGAAAAGAAGTCTACACATATTAAAACAAAAAGGCAAAATGTCGATTTTTCACGTTCTCAGTTTTTAATTTTTATCATTTTCAATTTTTCGTTTCCCCGATTTTTCGAGTTCTCGATTTTTATTTTTCATTTTCCCGATTTTTTTTATTTTCATTTTCTGGATTTTGTCACAAATTTTCATTTTTTCAATTCCTTTATTTTTTGTTGTTTCTTTCGATTTTTAAATTTTTCGTTTCTTCAATTTTTCGAATTTTCAGTTTTCCAATTTTTCGTTTCCACAATTTTTCATGTTGCCGATTTTTATTTTTCAGTTTCGAATTTTCAGCTTATCAGTTCCTCAATTTTTCGATTTTTTAAGCTCCAGATTTTTCAATTTTTCGATTCTTTAGGTTTGCGATTTTTCGGCTTTTCAATTTCCCAATTTTTCAATTTTTTAATTTTCCAATTTTTGGATATTTCGTTCAATTTTGTGAGTTTTCTCAGTTTTTCGATTCTTCAATTTTTCAATTTTGGGATTTTTTCAGTATTTCGACTTTCAGATTTTTCACGTTCTGGATTTTTCGATTTCTCGACTTTTTACTTTTTGGATTTTCAATTTTTCGTTTTTTGAACTTTCACATGGTAATTCCTCATAGGAAAGTAAGGATTTTACAATTAAGCTCCACCCCTCGGCTTACGACGAATAAAAAAAATCATCAGAATTCAGACAGGGTGGGTGGGCGGGGCTTATATTTTAAATTTTGCTGTTTTCTTAATGTACATAGCCATCTTTTCACAACAAGAAACTTAAAACATGTTTAACATTGTACATTTTTGCAAGGAAATATAGATTTTGCAATTATGGGGCGCAATTGATATTTCCTTATACAAATTTTCGATTTCAAATATGTTTTAAGTTTCATTTGTGAAAAGAAGTCTACACATATTAAAACAAAAAGGCATAATGTAGGCCCACCCACCCTCCCGATCTCAATTGTAATGATTTTTTTATTCGCCGTGAACCAAAGGGGCGGAGCTCAACTGCAAAATTCGTATTTCTTTACAAGAAATAAAAAACATGTTTTTGAGTATCGTGTTGTTCAAAGAATACTATGTACATTAAGAAAAAAAAACAAGCCAAAATACATAACCCCCCGCCCCTACACACCCCATCTCAATTCTGATGATTTTTTAATTCTTGTAAACTTAAAACACGTTTAAAATGGTAAATTTTTGTAGGGAAATATAGTTTTTGCAATTAGGCTCCGTCCATTGGTCTGCCAACGAATAAAAACTTTATTACTATTTAAATTGGGGCGGCATGGGTGGGGCTTATTCTTTGGCTTTAATAAAAACATGTTTTTAATTTCTCGTATAGAAATAAGGACTTTGCAGTTGAGCTCCCTCTTGGCTCACGACGAATAAAAAAAATTATCACAATTAAGACAGGGCGGGTGGGCGGGACTACATTTTGCCTTTTTTTTCTTAATATGTGTAGACTTATTTCGACAACAAGAAACTTAACTTTTGTAGTAATCAAGTTAAATCCGCCATTTTTCTTCTACCTCTTTAAATACGGCAAAAGTTGAACATCAAAATTACTATCGACGGCAACTTGGTAACGGAGTTTATAAATGACAATTTTCAGCTCTAAAAGCAGCCTGTAGCGGAATTTTCGACGACATGTAGCGGAATTTCACCATATGAACTGACCTGACCTGACCTGACCTGGCAACACTGCCTCACACTAACACTAATCTAGTACATACCTCTGGAGCTGGTGGTGTTGAAAACAAAGGCTTATAACAAAAACTGGGCCCTTCCAGTTCATAAATCCTTTGTTTAACAATCGCTGACCACTTTTTATCCCCCAATAAACTATTCATAAACGTCGAATTTGAGTCCGGAACGAAGCCAGGACTTCTCGGTGAATTAAAATTTTTGTTATTTAAAGACGTATTTGGCCACAAACTAGAAGAATTTAAACTGGTGTTTGTGCACCAATTACTGGTGGGATTTAACGGCGGCAAACTCGACAACCAATGATTACTGTACGAATGTGACGGAGAATGATTATTTTCAATAGACTGTTCTATTTCTTTAAGAAAAGAAGATAAATTTGGTTGGTTGAAAACCTAAACATAAACAATCAGTTTGGTCAATATCAAAATCGTGAAAACGTTACTTTGCTGATTCTATAAAGCATCACCGACATCTTCGGGCTCACTAAATCCACCCTAGTAAATCTAGGAAGGAGCTGTTGAAAAATAACAACATAAATTAGCAAGTTTTGGGCGATGAATGGCAAGTGTTCTCGATCCACGGTAGGGGGCGCCACTACATTTTCATCCGAGTCTAGGTTCTGTTTTTTCCTGAAAGGTATCATTAAACTAACGAACCCACCACTAATAAAAAAACATACAAATCTATTTGAGCCAAATCCGGTGGATACCGCCACGGTTGTATGTACGTGAGCCACAATTCCAGTAAAAGTCGAAAAGAGCCATCTAGTGGCCACCTATGTATCAAGTTTCGTAGAAAAATATAAAATTTACTTTCTACCATTGGAATTGCGACTTTTTTTAACTCGCTCATGTGGGTATCGTCAATGCTGGCACTGGCTGAAAAAGCATGTAATTGTTTGATAAGTACACGAACTATTCTCATGTACTCAGATGAAGGCAATTCACTGTATTGTAGAAGACGCTGAAAATACACATTTTAAAAGTAGTTACAAAAAATTGAAGAGAGTACCGGTACTGTTGAAGAATTAAACGAACTGTTTATCTGATTCGTGGACTGGTTAATTTGGTCGTTATTTAGCCACATATCTATAAAAACAGTGAGAACGGTCTCGCTACGCCAAATTTGATTTCTTGGGTGGCGCCCAAAGTTTTGGTGAAATGTATATTCTTCTACTGATTTGTTTAGAATGTTGGCACTTATTAATTTAGACCCCACTGGAGTCCTTCAAAAATTGTTAACATTTCCACCACAAATGACACAACTACTTACTTATTTACTTGTTGCAGAGGATGAATGGGATTTTTTCCACTATAATATATAATTGGTAGGACCGAGATCCCAGGATTTGTTGGTAAAAAGTGTAACATATAATCACAACACAGTACATAATAAACAGTGTTCCATGGTTGTTGTTGCGTTGTAGTCGTCGTCATCGTCGTGGTTGGCAGCACAATCCCCGTCCTTTGATGCCACGGATTAATCAAATGATACGCAAAATGAAACATGTAATAATCAAACGGATCTAAAACCACCACTCAAAAAAAAAAAAATCACAAACCACACGCAACTTACTCAACAACAACGAAATAACACGTTTTGTTTGTGGATTAACATGTACTAAATCGGCATAAAACGGGTGCGACTGAGCATTTTCTAACACCTGTTGCACCTTCAGCTACAAACTCCAATAAAAACCACCATACACCAAAATTATCACACTTACTGGTAAATACATGATTGGAAAGTCATATTTCGCCGACGGGTCTTTGAGTAAGGTGTAAATCAACTTAAACACAGGTCCACATGGCGACAAAAAATGTTCCAATTGCCGAAAGTCTTCATTTACATCTCTGGCTATACGTAGTCCCCAACTGACCGTGCCCTGAGGTCCGAATATATTATCAATGAGTAGAGGAAAAAAGTTCTGGAGATCTAGGGTGCTCCCGCGGTCAAACAATACGGTTAATTCGGCACACCGGGCTCTTATTGGAAGGGTTAGTGCCCGACGCACACGATTCTAAAAGCGAAATGTTATTGGAATTCGGTAAAAGGCGATACGCACCATAAAATTGTCCGCTTCTTTGTTTAATAAGTTCATGTTTGGTTTTTCAAATAAATACAACGGATTATTTGTAACTGATTAAAACATAACCTCAATTATTGTTTACTTCGCGTTAAATTTTGAAGATTGGGTTGGCACCATGGGGCGGGAACTTCAAAGGATTGAAATGGGCATGCGTTTTAGTACGGGGAACAGTCCACGAGAGGCGCTGGCGGCATGTTTTTAAATTTAAAACAATATCTATGAAAATAATAAATAAAAGCGCTTCGGTTACTTTGACAACTTGAAACGTCAAAAATTAATTATCGTCTCGATTCCCGTGCTTTCCCAACCGTTCTGTTCTGCTATCTTGGTCTTTGAGCCACAGTTTTTCAATTAATTTGCTCTGTTAGTTTTGTTTTCGTTACTTTTATATATATTTTTGGTGTTCGCGTTCTCTTTATTGTTGTTTTTGTGTTGCTGTTTGGTGTTTCTTGTTTTACTGTTTGTTCCCCGTTCAATTAAGGACTTTATAAGGTAAAAATATTTGTTTAATTTGAAGATATGGAATTTTATTATTAACTATTGCAGTTAGAGGATGGTGAAGTACCGCAAGTGTGCCGTTGTAGCCTGCGATAATCGCCAATCCCCGCGACATCGCTTTCCAAATCCCCGTAAATTCAAAAGCCGTTTTGAACGATGGATTGAGCTTTGCGGAGATAAAGATCTTCATGTTAAGAATGCAGACCTGGTGTATCGCTCCCACCGTATTTGTGACAGGCATTTTCTTGTGGAAGATCGGTCGTCTAATATGTTGCTGAAAAAGGATGTGTTGCCAAGTCTTTTTTTGCCTCTCCATTTTCCTGTATCAGATTCAAATTTAGATCCTGTTTCTTCTCAAGAAGACACGGTTGCAGGTAAAATTTACATGTTTACGTATTTCTCTCTTTTTCATGGTGAAATAAAAACTACATTTTGGCGAATCTACAATTATTTATTATTGCAGACCCCATAAATGATCCCGCTTCCGAGCAAATCAGTCCCGATTCCATCCCAGTTCCATCCTTGAGTGAAAGACGCATTTTAAAAAGATCATCAAGCTCTGCATTGGTTAACGAAGTTCCTTCAAAAATCTTAAAAATCGCAGGAGTTACGTACAGCAAAGAGCTTCCTGAAGAAGCAAAAAAACTTTACAATTTAACAAAAAAACTTAGGAGAAAGGTATGTCGCCTTACAAAAACCAAAAATTTTTATAAAAAAAAGCAAGTGACAAAAATTTCGAAAGAAGAACTAGTTGAAAAGGTGACAGCGCCTTTGAATCGGACGGTTGCAAATTTCGTAAAGACCCAGATTAGATTAGCCGATGTGCATCCTAATGGTAGAAGATATACGTTGGATGACAAAATTATGGGTCTCATCTTGAACAAACAAAGTAACAGAGCATATAAACTCTTTTCTAAAATATTTCCTATGCCTTCGAAAAAAACTATAATGGCCTTACTCAATAGAATACCGATTAAAGCGGGTTACAATGAGGCACTATTTGACAACTTAAAAGCAAAAGTTAAAGGCTTAAAACAGCAAGAAAAACTATGTGTCCTAATGTTTGACGAAATTTCCATAGAACCACATATATCGTTGAACACGCATTCAAAAGAGTTTGAAGGGTTTGAGGATTTTGGAGAGAAAAAGAGCGAAAAAATTGCTGATAGGTTTCATGATTAAGGGTATAAAAAGGGAATGGAAACAGCCCCTTCTGTACACCTTCTCCAGCGGTCCGGTGAAAACAATAGATTTGGCGAGAATAATTAAACAAGTTGTAAAACAATGTCAAGACGCAGGATTAAAAATTATAGCCTCAGTAAGTGACCAAGGGACGAATAATCAGGCAGTGATTAATTATTTAATGAAATCTTCTATTGGAACTAATGTTCAAATTGGAGACAAAATCAAATTTTTTAAAATTAACGAGCAGAAAATAATCCACATATATGATCCTCCGCATCTTCTTAAAGGAATTCGCAATAATCTCTTAAAATATAAACTAATTTGGAAAATACAAGACAAAGAACCATTAAGTGCGCAATGGTCAGACATCCAGAAAGCATACCAACTAGACAAGTGTTCGACCGATCTACGTGCTATGCCAAAACTTACCGAGGGTCATGTTAATCCCAAAAAAATTAGGAAAATGAAGGTCTCATGTGCTGCACAAGTTTTTAGCCATACAGTTGCATCGGTTCTGGGACTAATGACAAAAATTGGAGACAGTGGCTTAGACGAGGAAGCGATTGGCACTTCTAAGGTCCTTAGTTTTTTTAACAAATTGTTTGATAGTGTAAATGGAAGGGTGTTAAAGCCCATGAAAAGGAATTTTTTGAGATGTGCAGTAACAGAACGATCCAAACATTTAAAGTTCTGGCAATGCGCGAGAAATAATCTACGAAATATGCATTTTGAGAAAGGAGGCAAAAAGTTTATCCCACCAAGTTTAAAAAATTGGGAAATCACCTTAAATGGATTGGAAGAAATTTTCAAAATTTTGAAAAGTCATGGTTTAACGTTTTTTAAGCCTCGGGTTTTCAATCAAGACCCGTTGGAAAATTTTTTCGGCCAAATTCGTCAACAAGGAGCTCGAAATACAAATCCTACGGTTACCCAATTTAAAATTCATTTTAAAACTCTTTTGTTTAATAATTTAACCACCACTCATTCTATTTCTGCAAATTGTGAAATTGATAATTCCGAAGAAATTCTAACGTCCGTCAGACAATTTATAACGCAAGGCCTATCTGAAGATGACGAAACCGAAGAAATAGAAACAACTGACGAAAATTTATTGATTAGCCCGGGACCGGAATTTTCTTATATAGATAAAATTAGCATGGGCTACGTAAGTGGTTTTGTTGTTAAACAATTGAAAGCAATAGAAACATGCATAAAATGCGAAAAAAATTTAACAACAGTAAACAAAAATGAGTGGCATGATCTGGTTGTTGCGAAAGAATTTAAAGATTCGGTTCCCAATAAATTGAAATATTGTACTCCGAAGCTTATTATAGGTTTAAGTTCTTGTTATCACGTGCTACAAAAACTAACACCAAAATATTGCTTCAAAAAATCTGGCTATGAAATATTGAAAAATTCTGTGAAAATGAATGTGAACTTCGAATTTAACGATAACTGTGAACATATGGGGGACATCAAAGAATTTCTAATATCAAAATTCACTGAGTTAGTTTGTTATAATTGGGCCGGTGGTATTAATAAAGTTCTCAGTGGCAAAGATGAACGAAACCGCCATCGAAACGACGACGCCATATATATAGCAGCCAAGAAATATTACGAAAAAAGAAAAAAAAAGTGAGTAAACATTGAACATTGTTGAACATTATACATATAAATTCTGTAATTAAAAAAATTAAAGCTAATTTTCTGAAATATGCATGTTGTTTTATTAAAAAAATTGTGTGGAACAAAAATTAAAATAAAAACCCAGCAGGCTGTAACCCTGGTTTTGTTGGGGAACAGCCCACCAGAGGCCGCTGCTTTCTCTGTCCTTTTGTCAGTATAAGGAGTTGCCTATCTATTACAAATATTATTATTATATTATCTATGGTTGGCACCACTGCTCAAATGGGAGGGATGTGTGTTTGGCGGCAACAGTTGACATTCAAAAAAAATCATTTTGTCCAGGATTGGATTAAGGGGGAACGCTAGACGAGAGACAAGTTTGAATTGGGCGCCATTTGTTGCCTTAAACGCAACCAGCAATTCTTCTTTAAATTTACCTGTCGCGTTGGGATAGACGACTACCGGACGTGGGTCATAAAAGTATCGTAAGCCGATAATGCAGAATAATGATAATTTATGACAGGCGGCCCACAACATACCTTCAGCACAGAATAATCATTTCTCGTATTCTTTTGACATATTAATTTTAATATTCGAGATAATTATTATATTATTCAAACACAATTTAGACAGTGTAGAGCAAACAAGGCTTATCAAGCCCGTCTATTAGTTTATTCGCCTAATGTATTATTAATACCGTTTTCAAATTACACCAAAATTGAAAAACCGAAAACTTAATAACTGAAAAACTGAAACATTTTAAATGAAAAAAATCGGTAAACCGAAAAATTGAAAAATCTATAAATCGAGAAATTGAACAATCTAAAAATTAAACAATTTAAAAATCGAAGAATTGGAAAACCAAAAAATGTAAACCGAGAACTTGAAAAATCGAATAATCGACAAATCAAAACATAAAGGAAAACAAAAAAATTAGCGGAAAATCTAGAACTTAAAAATTGAAAAATTAAAATACCTATCGAAAAATTGAAAAACCGAGAAATCGAAACATCAAAAAATAGAAAAATTGAAGAACCGAAACATTGCAAAATCTCAGAACTGAAATACTGAAAAACTGAAAAATGGAAAGAAAATTGAAAAATCGAAAAAGTGAAAAAATTCAAAACTGAAATCTTGAAAAACTGAAAAATGGAAAGAAAATTGAAGAATCGGAAAAGTGAAAAAATCCAAAACTGAAACATTGAAAAATCCAGAAATCGAAAAATTGAAAAATCACAATTGAAGAAAGAATTGAAAAATCAAGAAATAGAGAAATGGGAAAATCAAAAAATCAATTAATCGAAAAATTGAAAAATCAAAAAATTTAGAAACGTCAAAAATTGAAAACTGAAAAATAAAAAAATTTAAAAATCGTAAAACTAAAATATCGTAAAGTTAATAAATTGAAAAACTGAAAATTTTTGAAAAAAAAAATCGTATCAAAAACTAAAAATTCAAAAAATTGAGAAATTGAACAATTAAAAAAATCAAAACATTGAAATCCCAGTAAGTTGATAAATACGAAAATTTAAAAAACAATAATTTTAAAAATCCAAGAATTGAACAACAAAAAAAATCTAAGCCTGAAAACTCAGAAATTGAATGATCGAGAACAAAAAATCTAAAATTTAAAAATTCGACAAATTAAAAAATCATGGAACTGAAAAATCGAAAAGTTTAGATAGTGAGAAATCTAAAACTTTAAAAACTGAAAAATTAAAATATCGAAAAATTTAAAAACCGAGAAAACACAATATCAAAAATTTGAAAAATTGAAGAAACGAAATATTGCAAAATTCCAAAGCTGAAATATTGAAAAACCTAAAAACGGAAGGAAAATTAAAGAATCGAGACAGTGAAAAAATCCCAAACTGAAGCATTGAAAAATTGAGAAATGGAAAAATGGGAAAATCAAAAAAATTGGTCTAAAGAGTTTAGACAGTACTTCCCTCGCTATCGGAAACGTGACGACTGCATGCCTATTATGTTTTTTTTCACATTAGATTTCAAAGCATTCGGTTTTGTAGTTCCTGATTAATTCAATAAAATAAATTTACGCATTCATTAAATTTTTTGAGTCACCCTGTATACCCAAATCCAAAAAATATGAATGGAATGATAAATTACAAGAAGAGACTCATCATATTTTGTAAATTTTAAATATGATTATACGGCAAACTTTTGAGGTGACGTCATCAATTTTTTGGAGGGGATAAGCAAATATACTTTGACTAAAAATTTATTATGCTCTTAAAAACCTTAAAACATTTGCAAGATTTCAAAGCATTGGGTTCTAAAGTTCCTGATTAAATCAGTAAAATAAATTTACGCATTCATTAATTTTTGGGGTCATCCTGTATATGCAAATCCAAAAAACATGAATGGAATGATAAATCACAAGAAGAGACTCATCATATTTTATACAATTTAGATAGGATTTATTCAGCAAAATTTTGAGGTGACGTCATCAATTTTTTAGAGGGGATAAGTAAATAAAAAAAAATATGTCGTAAAAAAATTTACGTATGCTGGTCCCGACTGCGATTATGGTTTAAATATTTTTTAGAAAATCCTGTCATGGATGTAGAAACATTTGTGACAGCCAAAGAGGTTTTTTTGAGAAAATTATCTTTGAATTTAGACCAAATTGAAATAGGCACTAGGCAACAGGCACATTTGGGCAAAAGAAAGAGAAATTAGGGTTACGGCTTCAAATTTTGGACGTATTTACAAACTTAGACCGACTACAGCAATAACTAAAACTGTGGAGTCTCTGTTGTACAGTACATTTAGAGGTAATAGTTATACATACTATGGACAGCAAAGTGAGGAAAAAGCTGTCAAGTGTTTTGAAATAAAAATAAAAATATAAAAACTGAACGGTGTGGCTTGTTTATTTCAAAACAATTTCCTTACTTGGCTGCTAGTCCAGACAGGGTTCTAGAGGATAGGAGTGCATTAGTCGAAATTAAATACCCTTCAAAATCGCAAGATTTGTCTCCCGAAGAAGCGGTTAGAAAAAAAATAATCAAATTGATTTTTTTAAAATAAATAAAATTTGTTTCTATTTTTTTATGTACTTTAATAATTTATTAGGACTACATTTTTCATCACCAAGACTTGCATATTTTTATTATAAATATATTTTGAAAATGATACTGGGCATAGGGCTTTTTTAAAACACCTCCTTTCTGGGATAAGTAGTAGATACACTTAGCTACTTATACGTCTTAAACAAAAGCTGTATTTTATATATTTTTTATTATTATTATAAATATGTTTATTAGTTTTATTAATTAAGAAAGCAAAATATATATTAACAATAATATTACAATGAATTTTTAGTAATCTTGTGTACTGAATTCAGGATCCTGAGTGGAGTAAAAATATTATAGTTCCCCAGTTTTAATTCGGCTTTATAATAGTACCTCATTGCGTAAAAGTTAATTTCCTTAACAATAGATTATTACGGCCGGTCCTGGCGGCTTGTTATAAAACTGAGTTCCTTGCCATAAATTAGAAAAATCAGCCGAGAACTCTAACAATCAGTTTATGGTAGAGCAGGCGATAAGGGTTTTACCTGGAAAGTCGCTTCCGTAAATTTTAGTGGCGCTCCTATCGGCAAAGTACTGAACTAACTGCTCAAATTCTGGCGAATTGATACCCATTTTTTCAGTAATTGTTAGTTTTTGTTAAAAACTCTGCTAACCAATAGATCATTAATTTTCCTCTGATATTTCTGTTAAAATTATTCGACGTATTTTGCATTAATTTGTGGTATATTTTGATTTTAATAAACACATTATTATTTAAACAAATTGTACCAGTAACAAACATTTAATGACTCTGCGCCCTGTAAAAAGTGATGTTTTATCCATGTGCGAATTTTCAAGCGAACTTGAAAAGAAAACATACAGTGGTGCTTTTTTTACGATATTTCTCAGCCATATTTTTTCAGTTGATTGAACTGGTCTCTGCGCTCTAGAATATGAAAAAAGCTGCAGTTTGATGTATGATACATCTATATTAATATCATTTTTTCATACAAAAAGCCAAAGAAATGTTATACCTCGTCTAGCGAGTCCCCTTAAATTCAAACGGTGCCCCGGTACAAACCAACAATCATTAAATAAAAAATGTTTCTTTTGGTAAATACAGGAAAATTACTAAATGTGGCGGCTGCGTTGGTAATAAAACAAAACATTCTTACACGTTAATTTTTTATAAACAAAATACAAAAATTGAGCAATTTTATTCACAATAGTAATATTCTATTCTACAGCCCCACTAGTTTCGCCCCAACAGCGGCACTAGTCTCTGAAAGCTTCCTGCCAAACTGATTTACAACTTCAAAGGGGACCTGCAACAGCGAAAATCATTTAACCGCCTAGCACTAGTTTTTGGATATTTACATCAACTATAGTGTTCAAAATATTCGACACTCCCTCCAAACCGCCTATTAAATAAGTGGCAGCCACTCTCGTTTTCCCGCCATCATTTCCGTACTTTTCGTGCTCTTGTATGGTATCCACTATTGGTTTTGGGTGATAAAACCCTGCTACGAACTCTTGTAAACGTCCATAGGCTGTATCTGCTTTGCCGACCAGAGATTCGTGTTCTAAAGCTGCATATGTTCGGCCTGAATCAGGAAAAGGCGCAACTAAAGGAAAAGCCTAAAATAATTCGCGTTAAGCAGAGTTAGTCTATTTTGAGTAAGCTTACTTTTTTTGGGTTGATCACTTGAGCGATTTTTTTACGTGAGGCATCTCCTAGTGTGTTGAAAGGGGTGATGATGAGACTTGAAGGTGAAAGCGAATTGTGGTCCACTGGCATACAATGTACGGATGCAGATAGCGTTGACATTAATAGGAACAAGAGGTGATTCATTGTGCTAAATAAATAGTTGAGATATAATTGTAGGTAATTATGCTTAAGGACGCTTTCTCTATAGTTATTTGCTATTGAAGACGTTGCAGAAGTCACTGTCAGCAATTATCGACAAGGTGACTTAAAGGCGAAAAAATTATTTTAAAACCAAATTTTGGGTTTATACTGTAGTTTCAATAAATGGACACGTTACTTATTAATTATTACAGTAGTAGCAAGATTTGAGTAATGATTTTTGTATTACGTTCATATTTGCATTTTTTCAAGGGATGAGAAAGTTTAAAGCGATTATAAATGTTTGTCACGACAACCCATCAATAGAAATTTGAATTTATCCAAATATGTTGCTCACTTTTATTACTCGCCATTAAGTAACGTGTGACTTTAGTTCGACAATATCATTATAATTCATGTTTCAACGAGGCGGCAAAAATCAATCAATCATTATTTACATGTAGTGCATTTTAAGTTAAGAACGCCTTACTAATTGTTCGCGTTTTTTTTTTTTTTCGTAAAAAAATAAGTACAACAATAATTTTATTAAAACTAAAATAAAATTCGGAAAATTAATTTTAGTTCATATAATTCATGTAAGATAGGTATTAGACAAAAAATATAAAGTCAAAATGGGGTTAATGTTGTGTTATTATAAATAATAAATTCATAACTAACCTCTGTTTCACGTAAAAATATACACATTTCATTCTTAATTTAAGGCATTTAAAATTACCTTGTAGCTTATTTGATGTAAACACGCAAACTTTCCAGTTTTGTAATAACTAACTGTAGAAAAAAATTAACGTACAACTTTTTAAACTATTTACTACCCAATATATTAATTATACACAAAAATAACTAGTTAGTTATTAAAAATGAAATTTTGAATATTAAAATTCATACTAACGTACAGAGAATAGTCTAAGTTCCTTTACCAAAAAGAAATTTTTGCGTAATTTTGTGTTTGAAAGTCAAGGTAGATATGTAACCGATTGAGTTTATGTAACGTTTAATTAGTACAAATGAGTGATGAAATGTAGAAACACGTTTTATATACTTACACTATTGTTTAATTAAAAGCAGATGTGCCAATGTTGCTATTGTGTGAAAAACACTTTGGACACCATAAAAATTATTTACATTTATTTTTTACGATCACTTTTGCCGCTTCAAATTACCACTGAAGATTAGTAGTAAAATATTTACTCTGCCTTTAACAAACACGCAACAGAGACGTCTGATATCCACTAATAAAATGTCTCAGGTGTGGGGAGTTTTACTTTCACTTCTTGTTTGTATTCAGATGATGGTGTTCTGGTCTGCAGATCAACGCATTAGGAGTCACACTTTTTGAATTTTAATAACCCAACCAGACCAAAATTATTTTTAGGAAAGTTCGAAAGAAATGCAGCATGTTATAAATAAGATGTAAACTATCTCCAGTTTGTTTATTTTTAATGAAAATCGAATTTTTTGTAGCAGGAGTGACCAAGATATCTAGTGAAGTGCAAAACGTAATACTTTTCGTTTTTATTGTATTAATAAATAGTATAATTATGAGTGTTGTGGTAGATTTCACGTTTTTTCTTGTATTTGTATTCAAAATACCAAACAAGTTGAAAATGGAGCACATATTTTTGAATTATGGTGATTTTCGTGTTGCAATTGACACAAGTCGACAAGTGAACGTATTGGCAATACTGCATCATTAACAAAACACACGTGGTGAACGAACTGTGTGGTGAACTGTCATCGATCGGTTTTAATGTGCTTTATATAATTTTTGAATACATCTTTTTAATCAAATGTACATTTTCATATTTTAGAAGTATTAGTGTTGTGACAGGTAAGCCTCTGATTAGTTAGTTATTGCCCTTGTTAGCGTACATACAACATAATATAAATTATATAAATTGAGGTTATGTTTTTTCTTCATTTTTTTCTCTATAGTTTCGTATTAAATTGTAGCTATTTTAGTTTTCCATATTTTAATAATTAATGAAACACAAATCCGATTACAACGCACAACTTTCATTATTATGTGTTTCATTTTCTCTAGTTTTTCAACGACCAAAATGGGCAAATTCCGCACCAAACTCAAAGGTAGCACTAAAGGCAAGCGCTGGCCCAAAGGCCAGAGCTCCAGCTCGAACCCCGAAACCCAGAAACACCGAGATTTGGCAAAATCACGGTTCTTTCAAGAAAACTTGGGGCCGAGCAACCTAACGTCAGAAGCTTTGCGCAAACATGACGCCATTGAAACCTTTAAACCCCGACCTGACCCAGAACCCATGGGTGTAGAGGACGACGTGGAATCATCCCTTGGAACATACTCCTCGTACAAAACAATGGAATCATTTGCGTCAAATTGGTCCACTTACAGCAACATGTCGTTTAACAGGTTTTTGAAGGTGTTTAGGGCAGATTCGGCGCTGCATAAGGAGATGTTGGCGATGTTGGCGGCTATTAGTGAAGTGATTAAGGAGAATGGGGGGTCTGAGACGCCTACGGAGTACTTCGCGGCTTTGGTATATCTCATTTACTAAAACAAGATATTTATGTAATGTAAAAATTTAGGTCACGACGCTTGAAAGGGTGTACGATTCGGAGGAAAGAAGCGAGGATGAATTAACGGCTGTGTTGTCGTTGTTAAATATGGGAATTAAGTCAGTACCAGAGGGGGTTTTAAGGCGCACTTTTAACGATCTGGCGGCGAAAATGATGCACATTTTGAATGAGTATGTGGAGTCGGACAACAACACCATTATTAAAACAGTCTTCGGGATTTTGGGCACCCTGTTGAGGAAACAAGAGTTGATGATCTGGACGCACGACTCCACTAGTAAAATATTTACGTCTATTTTGAATCCGTTTTGCATTCACACTAAACCAAAGGTACTTTAGTGATTTCCACATTATTTTAAATATTGTATAGATATTACACGATCTTATTTTAGTGGCGCAAAGGCGCACAACAAGCTGTTACCCTTATCGTTAAATCTGATTGCTTTGAGGGTGCCAATAATAACGTAGCAGCTGATAAAGTTGCCGAATTTTGCGAACAAACCCTAGAAACTTGCATGGGAGGAAATTCAGGGGTTGTTCTAGTTTCGTCTATACAAGCTGGTCAAACTACTATTTTACACACCCTTGGACTGATGAAAGAAACAATGTGTAGTTTTTCAAAGTCGCACATTAAGGTATTTTTTCGCTCCCTTAATTGATAAATGCAAATGTAACGTTTATTTTTAGAAATCCTGCGAAATTATTTTAAGATTGATGACGTTAAACTACCCCATAGTAACATCGTGTGGACTTCAAGTCCTTCACGCACTCTTCTCTGCGCAGAAAGCAGTTGTACCAACCAAATTAAACGCGCAACTGCTTTCAGCTTTGTATGATTACCAACCGGGCTCTGGTGATGTGCAGCCAACTCTAGCATGGCTAGCTGTAATGCATCAAGCTCATGTTCATTTAGCTGAGTACGTTTTGAAATTTATATGTAAATTGTGTTGATTTTGTGCTTTTAGTACTGACATTTCTGTGTCATGTGCTGCTTTACCCAAAGTTTTTTCAACTATAACGCAACTGTGGCTGTCTGAAAAAACAGAAATAATGACTGCGGCCACTCATGCTGTGGAGATTTTATTGAGGGATGCTGTAGGTCCGGCTTGCTCAACTAAAGAACAAGTGGAGCAGTATAGTTCAAAATTGGCAAAGTGTTTTAGTTGTATTGAAGCAGGGCTTGGATACCAGTATCACAGTGTTTGGCATCAGGTGTTACATTTGATTGGAGTCATGTTTGAGGTGTGTAGAATATCATAATTTGTTAGTGTGTGTTTAATATTGTTTTTACAGGTTGCTGGTCAAAACTGCAGTCATATGTTACAAGGTTCTTTAAAAAGTTTGACTGAATTAAGAGACTCGTATAAATTTAGTTATAATAGCGAATTGGAACATGCTGTAGGTGCGGCAATTCGATCCATGGGGCCTGAAGTTGTTCTAAATGTGATTAGTTTAAAAGTACATATTTACGTTTTCGTTATTGCTTTTTTTAAACTTTTACTTTTAGAAAGATAATGGTGATTTGAATTTGGATAGATCTTGGATGTTGCCCGTTTTGAAAGAAAATATTAAGTCTTGCACTATTGAGTATTTTATGAAGGGGATTATGCCTTTAGCTCTGTATTGTCAGAAACGGTCTACTGAGTTGGCTGAAGCCAATGATGGAATAGGTGCGCATAGTTGTGAACTGTTGTATATGCAGTTATGGAATTTATTGCCGTGTTTTTGTAATCACCCTACGGATATTAAAAACAGTTTCAAGGTGAGTGTCATATTTTTTTTCTGTGTTGTAAGAGTGATTTATTTATTTTATATACGTTGAAAAACAGGTATATTTAGTTCGCGGTTCACTGAAAACACTTATTTTATAATGCCTTAAAATATTTACGTCTCAGAATTATTTTCGTTTGTTTTATCGCTAAATCACTTAATGCGATTGAAAGCACTCGTTTATATGTGTACAAATACAAGATTATTATTAAATTTGGACTTTTTGTGAAAATCTGGACGCCTAGGGGACGAACGAACTCAAGGCGGGATCATAAACAAAAAGTACAGGAGTATGTTATTTTATAAAGTTTCAATAACAGTTACTGTACACAATTTTGAAGTGACATCATCAAAATGTTTGTGGGGGTTACTAGACAAAATTTGAGAACAATGGGTCCAGTTGTTTCGGAGATTTATTTGTCTAATAAAATTCGACAGATAGACGGAAACGAAAACCTATTTCTTCGTATTCTTGGGGGTCATGAAACGTAGAGAAAACATCCAGTGAATGACTACTTTCATGTCTCCCGCCATTTCATCATTCCTAGGGAATAAAAAAATAGATCTCCCGTTTCCGTCTGTTTGCATCTGTGCCCATTTCTGTTTTTCCTGCATGTGTTTTTCAAATAACACATGAAAAGGTGAGCTAAATTATTTGTTCCAAGTCACTTTTAATCAACAATTCTGCATGATAAATTAAACGAATGGAAAAATAAAACATCAAATGAAACTAATAACGTGATTGCAAAGTAAATCCTATTTCAGTCGCATAGGTACTTTTTACTTTAAAACATTTAGATTTTGGGAAAAAAAATCAAGATTGTATAAGAAAATTGAAAATTGTCGAGCGTGTAACCTAAGGAAATGTTGTAATCAAGTCTATCGGCCGACGAGGTACTTTCATATTTTCTCGACGTTTCATGATCCCTAGAGTACGAAAAAGTATGTTCCCGTTTCCGTCTGTCTGTCATCTATCCGGATTTTTCTTAGGAATATAATCGCCGAAACTACTGGATCGATTGTTGTCAAGTTTTGTATATACATTAGGAATATCATGTAGATGGTAAAACGCTAACAAAAATTTGTCTAATCATCCCCAATAATAATGGGATGACGTCATCTCGAAAATTTACAGTAACAAACGTTATTTAAATTACATAGAATAAGATACTCCTGCATCTGTGGTTTTTGAAGGCGTGTTCATTTTTACCCTAGACATCTAGATTTTTATAAAAAAAAAATCAAATTTGTATAACAACATTTTACATTTTAGCTTTGTACTATGAAACCTTGCAAACGTTGTAAAGTCACCGTGAGAATTGTAAATGGTTGATCAAAATTTAATCGTCTTATCCCCTCCCAAAAAATTAATTACAGCATCTCAGAATTTTGCCGAATAAACCCTGTCTAAAATATTGTAAAATATTATTAATCTATACTTGTTATTTATGAATGCATTCATATTTTTACTTCCCGAGCGTATAGGGTGACATTTCCTGTCGGGCTACATTGGATTGGACATGATTTTGTAGTGTTAAATACAATTTACAACTTACAGAGCGGTATTTTTTATACATTTCCAAATTGCAATTTTTCATTTTTCATTAAATAGGAATGAAACTCTGCACATTCCATGTCTTTAAAATTAATCGGTGCGCCGACGCGGAATCTCAATGTATAGTCTTTGATGTAAAATAAAAATACGAAATAATAATAATTGGCCGGGATTTAAAATTCCGGACATTTCGCAAAAATTCAAAATTCCGCTCTTAAATTCCGGAGATGTTCGGAAAAATCCGGACGGATGGTTACCCTACGAGCGTAAGCTAAGGAAGTATAGTAATCGAGTCCATCGGCCGAATTGCCACTTTCATATTTTCTCGACTTGTCCATGACCTCTAGAGTACGAAAAAGGTGGTCTCCGGCTGTCTGTATATATTTATAGCAATTTTTTTAATTTCATAAAATAAGAGACTCCTGCACTTGTGGTGTGTGAACCTGTTTCGAATTTTCACCCTAAACATCCAGAGTTTATGGAAAAAAATCAACACTGAATAACAATATTTTGCAATTTAACTTTGATTTTTAAATTAATTTTAAATTCTAGGAGAACTCGTATAACTGAGGAAAACCTAGAAAAAGTAGTAATTATTGTTATTAAATATTCTCGAAGTTGTAGGCCACGACTGCAGTAGCGCTGGCGATCGGACGGCAATGTGCATCACTTCCGCGCTGCCGAAGGGTTTGTAAGGGTTCTCATAAAAAAAATTAAATTCGCAAAATCAAATTTTATAATTTTTCGGAAAAGCTGGATTTGTTTTATTGTATTACAAGGGCGCGGGAAGTTCTGTCGAAATAACTTTCGACCAATTTTTTCGAAATGCTTCTACAGGTGATTCCAAAAAATTAATTAATGAGGCAATCTTTTTATTGATTAAATCAAGAACAACTCACTCAAGGTTCCCGAAAATTTGGCAATATTATGGCTGTTATTATTAGTATTACATTGCATCTGTCCAAATTGTCATAAGCGTCCTTGAAAAAATGTCGATGGCGTCATCAAAAAATTTCTAAAGGAAAACCCACTAGAAACATATGCGTATCACGTTTCAGTACTTTTACTTTAACATTACATACATAGCTTTATTTTAACTTCTATGGATTATCAGAAAAAAATTAAATCTTATAATTTTTCAAAAAAGCTGGATATGTTATACTATACTTCAAGGTGAGGAAATAACCTTCGACCAATTTTTTTATTACAAAGGTAAGATGGTCAAAGCTTCCCTCGCCCTTGAAATACAATAAAACATATTCAGCTTCTTCTAAAATATACCGTGAAGGTTTTTTTTTCGCTGAACATAGGATAATTATCCTATGTCTTCTTTGTACTCGTCTTTGTTGTATTTTTGATTATTAAACTAACAGTATAAAATCCAATTATAACTATTTGCAGCACTAGTAAAAATAACCTACGTTCGTAAAGCCAGTTTTTACAATAAATTTTGTACCGCGAAAAAACAATAAATAAATAGAATTTTAGTTAAAGAATATTTAACTACTTACATCATTCATCACATTGGATGCTAAAGACTCAACTGAATACATTTTTAATTTCTATAAATAAATGTCTGCTAAGAGTTTGAGGAAATCAGACTCTATTTCATTATTGAATGTTTTATCAATGTTGATAACAAATTTATGGAAAAACCAAGCGAGAGGGAAATGGTTTTATAAGATAAAAAGATAAAAAAGATACATTTCGCGCTTTAGTTTTAGCAGTTGTGCCGAAAGGGGGCAGCACCTACAAAATCGTTTTATAAAATATTTAATTTTTAGTAATAAATATGTAAACAAATTTGTTAATTCTATTTAAGATATTAACTGTAACTAGTTTTTGTGGCGCCATCTAACTGAATAAGGTTAAAGTACACCTCGATATGTCACTTACTAAGTAGAGAGCTAAAAATTGTATTTAATTTAAATATACATATTGTGATAACCCAAACATCCCGCCATAGCTTGACATGTGAACAGAATTTTAAAACCCGCGAAAAATTCAAAAATTTGGCCTTGACTTGTGGTAAAGACCCTTAAGGATTTATAAACTTGCTGTTGACGTTGAAAAATTTACCATTTTAGTTTTAAGTTTCTTGTTGTCGAAATAAGTCTACACATATTAAGACAAAAAGGAAAAATGTAAAACCCGCCCACCCACCCTGTCTTAATTGTGATGAATTTTTTTTATTCGTCGTGAGTCAAGAGGGCGGAGCTTAACTGCAAAATAATTATTTCTCGAGGAGAAATTAAAAACATGTTTTTGAGTATCGTGCTCAAAGAACATATAAAGTATATTAAGAAAAAATTAAAGCCAAAGATTAAGCCCCAGCCATACTTGCCCTGATCTAAATAGTAATGAAGTTTTCATTGGTTGCCAGACCGAGGGGTGGAGCGTACTTACAAAATCGATAGTTCCCTATACAAAGTTACAATTTTCAATTTATATTAAGTTTCTTGTTGTGAAAAGATGACAACACGTATTAAGAAAAAACAAGCAAAATATAAGCCCCGCCCACCCACCCTATCTCAATTGTGATGATTTTTTTATTCGTCGTGAGCCAAGAGGGCGGAGCTTAACTGCAAAATAATTATTTCTCAAGGAGAAATTGAAAACATGTTTTTCAGTATCGTGTTCAAAGAATACTTTGTATCTTAAGAAAAAATTAAAGCCAAAGCCCCAGCCATACCTGGTCTGATCTAAATAGTAATGAAGTTTTCATTCGTTGCCAGACCTAGGGGTGGAGCATAATTGCAAAATCCATATTCGCTAAAAAAATTATCATTTTAAACATATTTTAAGTTTCTATGAAAAAAAAATCATCACAATTGAGATGGGGTGGGTGGGTGGGGTTCATATTTTGCCTTTTTTTTCTTAATATACTTAGTAATTTCTTGTAAAGAAAAAAGTATTTTGCAATTAAGCTCCGCCCCCTTAGTACACGGCGAATAAAAAAAATCATCACAATTGAGATAGGGCGGGTGGGCGGGCTTACATTTTGTCTTTTTGTTTGAATACGTGTAGACTTTTTTTCACAACATGAAACTTAAAACATATTTAAAATGGAAAATTTGTATAAGAAAATTTCAATTTTGCAATTAGGCGTCGCCCCATAATAGCAAAATCCATATTTCCTTGCAAAAATGTACCATTTTAACCATGTTCTAAGTTTCTTGTTGTGAAAAGATGGCTATGTATATTAAGAAAAAGGCAAAATCTAAGCCCCGCCCACCCGCCCTCTCTCGATTCTGATGTTGTTTTTTTTTTTTGGTCGTAAGCCGAGGGGCGGAGCTTAATTGTAAAATCCCTATTTTTGTATAAGAAATTAGCATCCGAAATGTGTTTTTAAGTAATCGTGTTATGCACAGAAAACTAAATAAATGTATTAATTAAAAAAGAAAACCAAAGAGAAGCCCCACCAATCCGTCTCGATCTCAATCGTGATGAATTTTTCATTCGTTGTCAGATCGAGGGGCGGAGCGTAATTGCAAAATCGATATTTCCCTATACAAATTTACAATTTTAAACATATTTTAAGTTTCTTGTTGTAAAAAAATCACAACACATGTTAAGAAAAAAAGGCAAAATGTATGTTGACTTGCATATTCATCCTCCAATGGATTGATTTGGACTTTTAAAAACTGAACATAAGTTTTGTTAAATTTTTGACGAAATTATTTTAAAAAGGTCAATAACGTAAATTTTCTGTTCTTTAAACTTGTACTTATTACAATACCTTAACATGAAGACAGTGCCAAATGTGAATAATGTCAATGTCTTTGGCATTTAAATCGATCAGATTTTATGTTCAGTTTTTAAAAGTCCAAGTCAATCCATTACAAGCAGGTATGCATCCAAATTAACATTAATTATCCTATGTTCAGAGAAAAAACAACCTACGGTATGTACAAATTTTGATTTTTCGAATTTTATGTATTTTTTTTATAAGGACCCTTATAAGTTAAAATAAATACATGTATCTAATGTTAAATGTCTACAAGATTTCAAAGCATTCAGTTTTGCAGTTTCTGACTTGATCAGTAAAAAAAACTGACTCATTCATTAATTTTGCTGCTATTTATATTAAGAAAAAAAATGAAAAATATTATTCCGTAGTTGTACGACCACAGTGACTGAGTAAATTCACAACCCTCGGCTTCGCCTCGGGTAAAAGTAGGATTACGTACTTTACATAAGAAAATAAAAATTCATTTTCTCTTTAAGTCAATGTTTCCCACAATTAAACTATTTTGGATCAAAATTAGACGTCTACAATCAAGAAATTTCCTCTCGAGGCGAAGCCGAGAGTTGAAAAATACCGGACAAATAATGCGAGGCGAAGGCGAGAGTTGAGGAATATGCAATATTTTTCAACTGATTTTATTCAATACATATGAGACTAAAAGGCAAAGTCATATCAATTTTTCAATAATTTTCTTATCATTCAGTAAATACTTTGAAGTTATCTAACAAAGTTACTGCGTAAATTCATTCCTCGATTTCACCTAACTTGCTAACTATAAATATGAAAATTATTTTTCTTTGAGTGAATGTTCCCACATCGAAACAATTTTAAATCGAAATTAGAGTTCTATAGCCAAAGAATTTTCACTCGAGGCGAAGCCGAGAGCCAAAAATATGTAATATACACGTTTTTAACAGAAATCGTTTTTTATAAAAAAAATGAATTAAAATAGGTAGAAGATGAAACTAATTTTTCAATAATTCTCTAATCATACAATCAAAATTTTGAGCTGACGTCATTAGTTTTTAAGGGGGTCGTAAACGAAGAAATTTTGATTAATGATTAACCATTAAAACGTTTGCATGTTTTCAGCATATTCGGTTATGCAATTTCAAAGTTAAATTGTAAAATGTTGTGATATAGTTTTGATTTTTGTTAAAAAATCTGGATGCCTGGGGTCAAAACTTAACACCGATTCATAAACTACAAGTGGAGGAGCATGTTATTTTATAAAATTTAAATAACATTTACTGTCGTAAAAGTTGGAGATGACATCATATCGTCATAGGTGGGGATGATCAGTGAAATTTTGGTTAGCGTTTTACCATTCTGCACGATATGTAATATATATTCAACAATCGGTTAGGACGTTCCGGTAATTTAAAAGACTATCTGGCTAATAAAAGTCGACCTATGTTTTCGTATCCTGGGAGATCATGAAACGTCGATAAAACATAAAAGTGGTGAATCGTCCGATAGACTCGATTACAATACTATCTTAGCTTACGCTCGGGAAATAAAAATAAAAATAAATCTTTTTTTAAAATCACAATTTTTTTTTTTTACTTTTTTAGTGTTTCAATTATTTGGAAATAGATATACATAATCTCTATATAGTGTAATGTTAAACTTTTTTCTTAAACAACCTGTATACATAAGCAAAAGAGCTTTACTGCAATTTTAGATCTCAAAACACTTAAAATTTCAGAGTATCATACATACAATTGTTTCGGTAATTCGTTAGACAGGAAATCCGTATTTTCCTTTTTCTAAAATTCACGAAGTGCCAAAAAACATGAAATCAGATTTTTATCGCAATGACCTTTAAAAGACCCCTCAGGCGATACTCGTAAATTAAAGACGTTCCAGTTTAGCAACTGCGCACAAAGGAAGATCATATAGCCGCATAAATCGATTATCTTTCAACATTATTTAAAAAAATATATACTTTATTTAATTTTGCAAGTTAAATTTTATTGATACATCTGAGACTAAAACATTTCGATTTATGTACTTCGATTATGATTCACCCACAAATGCGTGTTGGTTTTAAATCCTGCAACCACTTTCTCGCTATTTAATTTGCTACCTAACTAATAAAGATGTAGATGCCTTCAATTGGAACCACTACAAGTCACGTTTAATTTCCATATTCAGAGCATAGCAAAAGTCCTCGGAACCGCCATCTCCGACCGCAAAGAACTCCGCTTATCCGTCATGGCGTCCCTCCGAAAACTAATCGCCAGTGCCAAAGAATCCGAGAACCAAGACGACATCGCCGAAATCGCACGTTTCGACAAAAACTACCTCCCGATATTATTCAACGTATACACGACCAAACCTCTCGGAAGCGACGAAGAAGGCCAAAGATTAGCAGCCCTAGACACAATCAAAGTTTTCTTGACTCTCGCAAGTCCACAACTAACCGAACAGCTGTTCAAACATGCCGTAGAACGACTTAACAGTTCGTCAGAGGACCCTGAAGATTCCTTCATTAAAGAGAGCATCCTAGACCTGATACGAGCTCTAGTGCCGTACCAGAACACCGAGAATGTAGGAGTTTTGTACGAGCAGTGCGTTAAACCACTACCTGATATAAAAAGCAACAAGGAACAGAAGAAAGCGTACCGGTTGTTGGAGGAGATCTGTGGAAGTCAGTCAGAAAGTTGTAAGGAGTTTGTCAAAAGTAACAGGAAAGAGGTGCAGAGGTTGCTGTGGAAGTCTTTGGAGACGGCGGCTGTGTCTAGTAAAGGGGCGAGGTTGAGGTGTTTGAATTATTTATTGAAAGCGCAACCCCAGCTTGACGCAGATAGTAAACTTATCAAGAGGGTGGTACCAGAAGCGGTTTTATCATGTAAAGATATCAACGAGAAGACCAGATATATTTCGTATGAGGTTTTGAACACGGTTGGGGGAATTCTTCAGCAACACAATGAGATGGATAAGTTTATTCATTTGGTGAGTGGGGGGCTTTTCGGGGATGTGAATCTCATGAGTTGTACGATTTTGGCGCTGGCGTCGATTCTTCACAACTTTTCAGGTAAATAAATTTATTTTAGTTAGTAGTGTATGTATGATGTGGTAATTTTGTAGGTGGGCTGGGTCAGGCCACGATTCAGTGGATTTTAGAGAAGGTAGCGGCGTTGCTGGCGTCTTCTACAAGGGAAGTGGTTGCTTCTGCTTTCAGTTTTATTAAAGTGTATTGTAAAACAATGCCGAGTCCGATGGTGGCGGCATCACTCCCTCTTATCGTAAGTATTGTAGAAACTTGTATGAAGATTGTTTTTCTGACTCATAGGGACGGTAAATTCATTGTTCACTGCATCAAAAATTTGTACATTTCAGATTAAATCCTTATGTGCAATGACCGACGATTGTAGTAGACACTTTCGACTAAAAATCCGCGACATATTAAACAAACTAGTGCGAAAATACGGCAGCGAAACCATAACACCTCACATCCCTGCCTCGAACACCGTCATGTACAAAAGACTGAGAAACATCCGCAAACTCAACGCACGCAAGAAGCGACAAAAAGAAGGCGAAAAAGACGATGAAGACAGCGATGACGAACAATTCTTAGTTAAAGCAAAACCAAAAAGGTAACAAAAGTAGCTACTTTACACACTCGATACTAACACTCTTACAGTGTCGAAGAAATCCTCGCCGACTCTGATTCCGACTTCGACGACATGGAAACCGACCAACCCAAACCTCCAAAGCGAAAACAACCGAAAACTTGGATCGAAGAGGACGCCGAGAGCATCGTGGACTTCACCGATCCGAACGTCGTCAGTAAAATCACCGGTAATGCACAATCTGCTTTTTTTTAACTAATATGATTCAACACGTCATTCAATTGTTGCAGCTACTAAGCCAGGCACGAGTGCCCCCTTCCAGCAGGCGTCGAAAAAAGCAGAGAAAGACCGAGGTTTCAAGACCGCCTCAGACGGGAGGCTTATTATCACGGACGATTCGTCTGATAGTGACTCTGAGAAAAAAAATAAAATTAGTTTCGATTCGGATGATTCGGGGTCGGAGCTGGATGATAAGAGCGTTGCGGAAACTTTGGTTTTGAGCGATCGGAAGAGGAAGAGGGCTGCTAGTGTAAAGAGTGGCGTTAGCTCGGTTAGTCAGCCCCCTACGAAGTATAAGCCTGGAGGTATTGGGATTCATAGGTCGCTTAGTGCGGCGTCGGTCCGCAGTGGCGCTAGTAGTGTTGTAGGGAGTGAGTATAGGGGCAAGAAGGCGAAGGGTGATGTGAAGAAGAAGGGCAAGCCGGATCCGTATGCGTATTTGCCGCTGAGGAGGTCGGCGATTAATAAAAGGTGAGTTGGTGTCAAGTCCAGGAAAAGTGAGACAAGAGTGGGAGGTATCTGCTGCAAAATATTATTGTTTTGAAGATTTTTACTAAATCTCCAAAATTTACATCAGTAAATAGTATTTCAATTTTATAAAATGAGATAATCCTTCACATGTGGTTTTCAAGTTTTACTCTAGACGTCCAAAAAAAAAATCAAAATTTTGCAATTTAACTTTGAAACTGCTAAACCGACGCTCGGAAATTTTGCAAACTTTTTAAAGTTATAGTATCATGGTAAATCGTGAATCAAAATTTATTCGTTTTGTCTTCTTCCAAAAAATTGATAACGTCATTTCAGAATTTTACCGAATCCCTAAAATATGAAAAATATTATGATGGTTTATTAAAGCACTTATAGAATTAATTACAAATGTTATAATTTTTAGAAAAATCTGGAATTGTGTAGCTTCCACCAATTTTTTGATATCACAATTTTTCGTTTTTTCGACTTTAATTTTTTGTTTTTTCGGTTCTTCAGTTTCTCAATTTTTAATTTTTCGACCTTTCTATTTTTCAAGTTCTTGACTTTTATTTTTCATTTTCACGTTTTTTTTTTATTTTCGTTTTTTGATTTCAAATCACTATTTTTCGCTTATTCAATTTTTGAAATTTTCAATCTTTGATTTTTCAAATTTGTAATTACATCTTTATTTCCAATTTTTAGATTTTGCGAAGTTTTCATTTTATAATTTTTCGTGATCTCATTTGCAATTTTTCCATTTTTTTGATTCGAAAAGTTGAAAAATCGGAAAACAAAAAACGAGAAATTGCAAAATGGAAAAAGTGGAAAATCGAAAAATTGTAAATCGAAGAACTGAAGAACTAAAAACTGGAACATTGAAAAACTAAAAATTGAGGGACTTAAAAAAATAATGAATCGAAAAATTATAGAATCCCCAAAATCATAAAGTTGAAAAACTATATTATCGTAATCATGGTAAATCGTTAATTAAAGATGTAAATATTGAAAAATCGGTTAAAAGAAAAAGTTTTAAAATCCAAAGATGGAAAAATTCTAAAATCGTATAATTTAAAATGCGAAAAATTTTTTAAATTAAAAATATCACATTTAAAACGAAAACTAGAAAATTTGCAGCTCAAAAATTGAAAAAACGAAAAATTAAAAAATCTAAAAGGTGAAAAACTGAAAATTTGAAAAATTCAAAAATCAAAATTTTGCAATTTAAATTTGGAACTGCTAAACCGAATGCTCGGAAATATCGCAAACGTTTTAAGATTTTCGTAATCATGGTAAATCGTTAATCAAAATTTATTCTTTGATCTCATTCCAAAAAATTGATGACGTCATTTCAAAATTTACCCGAATAAATCCTTACTTTTGAGGGTTTATCAATGCATTCATAGATTTTAGAATTAATTACAGGATGACTAAAGAAACAATATATCACATCCATATCTTTATTTTAACTTATAAGGGTTATCATAGAAAATTAAATTCGCATAATCAAATGCTATAATTTTTCGAAAATTCTGGACATTCCACCAATTTTTTCTTATCACAATTTTTCGTTTTTTCGACTTCAATTATTTCAATTTGCAATTTTTCAATTTTGGAATTTTTCGACCTTTCAATTTTTCGTTTCCTCAATTTTCAAGTTCTTGACTGTTATTTTTCATTTTCACATTTTTTTTTATTTTCGTTTTCTCGATTTCATATCATTATTTTTCGCTTATTCAATTTTTGAAATTTTCAATCTTTGATTTTTTGATTTTGTAATTATTAGATTTCTCAATTATTCGATTTTCCTATTTCCTTGATTTTCGGATTTTCGACTTTGAAGTTTCTTAATTTTTAATCACTTTTGATTTTTCAATTTTCCGTTTCTTAAATTTTTCAACTTCTTTATTTCCAATGTTTAGATTTTTCAAAGTTTTCATTTTATAATTTTTCGTAATTTCTTTTGCAATTTTTCCATTTTTTTTTTTTTATTCGAAAAGTTGAAAAATCGGGAAACTCAAAAAACGAGAAATTGCAAAATGGAAAAAGTGGAAAATCGTAAAACTGGAAATCGAAGAACTGAAGAAACAAAAAATTGAAACATTGAAAAACTAAAACTGAAAAAAAAATGAGTCGAAAAATTACACTACCCAAAAATTGTAAAATCGAAAAATTATGGAATCGTCAAAATCATAAAGTTGAAAAACTGTAACACTCAAAGATATAAAAATTAAAAAATCGATTAAAGGAAAAAGTTTTAAAATCCAAAAATGGAAAAATTCTAAAATCGTAAAATTGAAAATGTGAAGAATTTTAAAAATTAAAATTATTATCACATATTTAAAACGAAAACTAGAAAATTTGCAACTAAAAAATTGAAAAAACGAAAAATTAAAAAATCTAAAAGTTGAAAAACCGAAAATTTCAAAAATTCAAAAATCAAAATTTTGCAATTTAAATTTGAAACTGCTAAACCGAAATGCTCGGAAATCTTGCAAACGTTTTAAGGTTATCGTAATCGTGGTAAATCGTTAATCAAAATTTATTCGTTTATCTCTTTCCAAAAAATTGATGACATCATTTCAAAATTTTACCGAATAAATCTTCCCTGAAATATGCAAAATATTATAACTCTACTTATGATGTTTTATTAATGCATTCATAGATTTTAGAATTAATTACAAGGTGACAAAAAAATATATCACATCCATATCTTTATTTTAACTTACAAGGGCTATCATCAAAAATTAAATTCGGAAAATACTATAATTTTTCGTTTTTTCCATTTGCAATTTTTCAATTTTGGAATTTTTCGATATTACAATTTTTTTTTTCGGGTTCTTCAGTTTCTCAATTTTTATTTTTTTGACCTTTCAATTTTTCGTTTCCTCAATTTTTCAAGTTCTTGACTTTTATTTTTCATTTTCACGTTTTTTTTTTAATTTTCGTTTTCTCGATTTCATATTGTTACATTTCGCGGGCGAATAAAATTGGCGTGGATTAAAACTCAACAATATATTTCTTAATAACTGGTATTTACACGACTAACTATTGCAACGATTATGTACAGAAATTATTCCGGCGAATTTCACTGACGGCTCTTGACTCCACTAGCTGAATAATCCGTTCCCGACGGTCGCCTCTATTTAAACCCATACTTCTCCGATCGAGATCTTTCTCGAATATCCATCGCGACTCCGCTTCGAGACTTCCGGTAACCGGCTCCAGACTTGTCTTTATGCGCCCGCCGCTCGGCCGTCGATGAGTCATCCTTCATCGACACACATACTAGAAAAAACCCATAGGCGTCGCACTATGGGTTTATTTCGTAACAATAGCACTATTTTTCGCATATTCAATTTCTGAAATTTTCAATCTGGGATTTTTCAATTTTGTAATTATTAGATCTCTCAATTATTCGATTTTCTTATTTCTTTAATTTTCGTTTTTTCGATTTTGAAATTCCTTAATTTTTAATCACTTCCGTTTCTTAAATTTTTCAACTTCGTTTTTTCCAATTTTTAGATTTTTCAAAGTTTTCATTTTATAATTTTTCGTAATTTCATTTGAAATTTTTCTATTTTTGTGATTCGAAAAGTTGAAAAATCGAAAAATTCAAAAAACGAGAAATTACAAAATGGACAAGGTGAAAAATCGAAGAACTGAAGAAACAAAAAATTGAAACATTGAAAAACTAAAAATCGAGGAACTTAAAAAAAAATTAATCCAAAAATTGGAAAGAAGAAAAAACAAACACAATCGAAAAATTATAGATTCGTCAAAATCGTAAAGTTGAAGACCTATAACACTGAAGGATATAAAGATTGAAAAATCCAATAAAAGAAGTTTTAAAATCGAAAAATGAAAAAATTCTAAAATCGTAAAATTGAAAATGTGAAAAAATGTTTAAATTAAAATTATTATTATATATTTAAATCAAAAACTAGAAAATTTGCAAATCAAAAATTGAAGAAACTAGAAATTGATAAAACGAGAAACTCATAAATCTAAATTGAAAAAACGAAAAGTTGAAATACCGAAGATTTGAAAAATTCAAAAATTGAAAATCTTTGAAAAAAGATAAAATCAGAACTTTGAAAAAGCGAAAATTGAAAACCGAAAAATTGAATAATTAAAAATGTAAAACTCGTGAAAATGCAAATCGAGAATTGCAAACTAAAAATTGAAACATCTAAAAGTTGGAAAATGGAAAAACTGAAAATTTTTATAATGAAAACTCTAGAGTTACAGACGTTTCCAAAAAATTTCCAGCAAGATGCTCAAATCAGGTTCTCATAGATTAGTGAAAAATAATCATGTCAATGTAATTTACCCGAAATTTTTTGGAAACAATGGTACCTAAAATTGAAGAAACAAAAAAAAATGCAAATCGAAAAAAATTTAATTGATAAAAAATTCAAAATTTATAAAATTGGAGCATTGTAAAATCGAAACGAAAAATTGAAAACTCGAAAAATTGCAAAATTTAAAAATTGAAAAATTCAAGTCAAAAAAGCTGGGGGAGTGTAATTTACGTCACTGGTTTTAACTTTGTAGAGGTTATCAGAAAATAAAAGTCCCAAAAAAATTATACTTTTTCAAAGAAGCCGAATTTGTTGGGCTGTACTTCAGGGGCAACGGAAGTTCTGTCGAAATAACCTTCGACCATTTTTACTTCCCGAGCGTAAGCAAAGGAAGTATTGTAATCGAGTCCGTCGGCCGACTCTCTACTTTTACGTTTTCTCGATCTTTCATGACCCCTAGAAGACGAAGAAATAGGTCTCCCATTTCCGTCTGTCTGTCCGTCTGTCCGTCTGTTGTCCCGGATTTTTATTAGACAGATAATCTCCGAAAGTACTCGACCGATTGTTGTGAAATTTTGTACTTATATTAAGAATATCATGTAGATGGTAAAACGCTAACCAAAATTTGTCTAATCATCCCCACCACTAATGCGATGACGTCACTTCAAAATTGTACATAGTAAATGGGTTTTCAATTGTATAAAATAACATAGTCCTACACATGTAGTTTACAACTCTGAATCGACTTTTCACCCGAAACGTCCAGATTTTTGGAAAAAAAATCAAAATTATAAAACAACATTTTGAAATTTAATTTTTAATCTGCTAACCAGAATGCTTTGAAATGTTGCAGATGTTTTAAGGTTATAAAGAGCATCATAAATCTTTAGTCAAAAAATATTTGCTTATCCCCTCCAAAAACTTGATGACGTCAGCTCAAAAGTTTGTGGAATAAATCATATCTAAAATGTACAAAATATGATGAGCCTGTACTTGTGATCTATCACTCCATTCATATTTTTTGGATTTGCATATACAGGGTGACTCAAAAAAATTAATGAATGCGTAAATATATTTTATTGATTTAATCAGGAACTACAAAACCGAATGCTCTGAAATCTTGCAGATGTTTTAAGGTCATAAAGAGCATAATAAATGTTTAGTCAAAATATATTTGCTTATCCCCTCCAAAAACTTGATGACGTCAGCTCGAAAGTTTGCCGAATAAATCATATCTAAAATGTACAAAATATGATGAGCCTGTACTTGTCATTTATCACTCCATTCATATTTTTTGGATTTGCATATACAGAGTGACTCAAAAAAATTAATGAAAGCGTAAATTTATTTTACTGATTTACTCAGGAACTACAAAACCGAATGCTTCGAAATCTTGAAGATATTTTAAAATTATCATAAGCATGGTAAATTTTTGATCAAAACGTATTTGGTCGTCCCCCCTAAAAAATTTATGATGTCACCACAAAATTTTGCTGAAAAAATCCTATCTAAAATGTACAAAATATGGTGAGTCTCTTCTTGTGATTTATCATTCCATTCAAATTTTTTCGATTTGCATATACAGGTTTAATCAGGAATTAGAAAACCGAATGCTTTGAAATCTTGGGAATATTTTAAAGTTATTATAAGCATGGTAAACTTTTGTTCAAAATGTATTTGTTCATCCCTCCTAAAAAAATTGATGACGTCACCCTCAAATTTTGCTGAATAAATCCTATCTAAAATGCAAAAAATATGATGAGTTTGTACTTGTGATTTATCATTCCATTCATATTTTTTAGATTTTCTTAAGAGGTGGTTCAAAAAAATTAATGAAGTCAATTTATTTTATTGATTAAATTAAAGGCAACACTTATTATTAGTATTACACCCCAACCAACCCAATTTGGTAGACACAAAATTTGTTAAAGGAAAAACTCGGTTGAAACATAAGGGTAGCACGCTTATTTACATCGACTTTAACATTACAGACCTGCATTTGTTTTATGCTCTCACTTGGTTCCGCGAATGTGAAATAGACATGTTTATAATCAACCAATTGTGAATTTCATCGTCAAGAATTAAAATAAAACCCAATGTTTTATATAATAAGCGGAAGTCGAAGCAATAAAACCGATGGTCGTTTTGTTTACAGTTTCTCTGTTTGACTCTCACGTATGCTGTTACGCCTGTCATCTTAAATTAAGAATGTTTATACATACACGATTTTCAGTTGCCTCTGATACGTATACGTGAGTAAATTGTTTCGTTATTTTATTGATTATTACAAATCAATATTCAAAACGACCCAATTCATTTTCCCGAAAATTTGAGAATATAATAATTTTATTCTTAGTATTACACTACATCTATCCCAACTGATATACATGTCCTTGCAAAAATGTTGATGACGTCATCGCAATTTTTTTTAAATTCCCACTACAAAAATGTAATGAGAAAAAAAACACAATAGGCATGCAGTCGTCAAGTTTCCGACAGCGAGGGAAGTACTGTCTAAACTCTTTAGACCATTTTTTTTTATTTATTTAGGTGGATAAAGTATATCCTCATTTGGCAACACTGTACACAGTGACAGTCATAGACACAAAGGGTGAATAAGTAAATACTGATATGCATCAGTCTGTATGTCGTTTAGGTATATTTTGTATACTAAAGGACTGAAAATTGGTCCATCTGCATTTGTGTGGCAAATAATGTGGTGATGCCAGAGACAACCTTAAAGCAGTACCTTTTTATTCAGTGTCTTTACTTTTCCTGGATTGTTCTAGGCGCATTTTTTTATAAAGCATGTTGTTGCAGAAAAAAGTCGAAAGCTGCAGGTCAGTTTAAGAATATAATAAAAGGGGCGAAGTCTGGGGCTCTGAAGGGGGCCAAAGCTAAAAGAAATAAGAAGTAAAATGAATGTTCTAAGCTTGCTTTAGTAATAAATGTTTGGTAATTCATGTGTTTTTTATTGATTGGATTTGCCGTGTGGGTAGCACCCGGCAATAAAAGTAGCGTGTGGTTTGTACATTTTTTATTCAGACCTAAAATTTCTACATTAAAATGAGAAAAATAATAGACCCTTTATCATTGTGTATGTATTTAAATGAAAACGATTGTAAAATACTCACAGGAAATATTTTAAAAAATATTAAAACTATGTAAAAAAAAAATCTCACTTTGTACATACAAATTATAATACATAAATAAAATATGGAAACCAATTGATAATTTGTTATTTCACTGGTTCATAGCTAGAAAGCAAAAGTCATGAGAAGACTAGTAATCTGTTGTGGATGCCAACATTCTAACAATGATCGATTTAATATAGAAAAACCAGCGTGTTAACTGTATTTGTAAAGTTATGGTAACTTACATCTACATTTCATTTTATAGCAAGTGATTAACCTATCGATATAAATTTCTATTTTAAATTTCAAAAAAGGATAGTTAAATCCATCACACAATTTAGTCTTAAAACTTACTTGTAAAAGGAAAAGTACAAAATCAGCAGCGAATACAGAGGTGTAAATGGTCCACGACTTTTTGAAATACAAAATAGAAATTTCGCTGACCAAAGTAAGCACATTTTTCAAGATCTTCAAGAGAAATGAGTCTGGTGTTCATGCACAGCCAACAATAAGGACTAAATAAATTGCACAGTATAAATAAAAATTGGCCTACACAAACCATAATTTGGTGAAAACGTGGTTACTTTGACGCGCAGACAACAAAACAGCGACGACTTAGCGCATGCCTGACTTAGAATGTGCAATCAACCATTGCAGCGTGATGTCAATATTATCTTTTTCTTTACAAGAAATGGAATAACAACAGATTTCACGGTCTTGGATAGCTGATAAGTTCCTGAGAAAGATATTCATTACGAGATGGATTAAAAACAGTGGAAACTTACATTCGCTCGATAAGGCCATTTTCATCTAAAGCTTGTGGCATGTCCCTCTTATTCCCCAGCACTAAGACTGGAATTCCCGCTAATTGTGGCTTGTCCAATAAATTGTGGAGCTCATTTCTCGAAGCCTCGATTTTGTCAGGATCTGCCGCATCCACCATATACCTAGACAACAAAATGAGTCATCACAAATATTTTGACGCGCTACGCTTACACTATAGCGTTGACACCTCGACAATAACGCTCCCACATCGACCTAAACCTAGGCTGACCGCCGATGTCCCACACTTTTATTGTTACATTTCCCTTTGTTATTTTCCTCATATTGAAACCCACTGTTGGAATCATGTCTTCACTAAACTGACCTGACTGGAAGAGACACTCGTCAATTATGCTCAACTTTGTACAACGAAAGCGAAACATACTGCGATTACATTGACGAAAGTTGTTTTTCCTGAGTACTGGAGCCCCACTAGTGTTAGTTCCATTTCTTCCTTCCAAAATAAGCTCCTAAACCAGTCCAATATTCTGTTCATTAAAGCTAACATTTTGCCGGTTTTTGTTTACGATTTCGAATGAATTTCAAGACACTAGGACTATGGTTTATTAATAAATTAAATGTCATTTACTACCCAACCCGATCTGTCACAATTGTCAAAGATGCTGAAAAGCTAAAAAGTGAATCACAATAAAGGTGGCGCTGGTGTCGACGAAAATGCACGAACGAAGCCGATGTTTGAATTGATTGGCAAGTTTGATTTGAATTTTAATTTTCTACGACGCAGTATAAAAATAAAATAGGACTCAAATATTTTACTTTTTGTAAGCCATGATCAAAGTGCTTAAAAAGAATAAGTGTTCTAATGTACTGCCATTTTTTAGTATGATTTCACGCAAATGACGTTTTGAGGTTCTACTACTCTCTTGTGTGATACATGGCGTTGACAAAAATTAACAAATATTCTCAGTATACAGCAAAAAATATTCAATTTCAACGTTATTCTTGCAATGTAAACAATTTGTTTAAAGAATTTTCTGAAAACTTTTTAACTCTGCACAATAAGAAAACTTACATTTTCATTAAAATTTACAAAACTGCATCGTTGAAATAGGAAATTTGCTAGGTTCTTCTTTGTATTTCCCACCACTTAATTTATTTTCTTCGTTTTGGTTTGGACGAGGAATGGATGAAAGTCGCTTCAGTAATGATAAAAAAATAATCACATTGAAAATTTATTATCCAAAAGTTATGAAGAAACATGGATTAATAATATACAATAATAAATATTCACATATAAAATAACATCAATAAGTAAACGTGGAACATTATTACTAATAATTCCGCAAGATTTGTCACTGAAAAATGGAAGAATTTTTATTGTAAGAATAATTGTAAAGTTAAATTCAATAGGAATGTTAGAAAATTGTAAACAGAGCGATACACTGACTATGGACAACACAAAGTTTTTTCAGCACGTCCATACAATTTCTTATTTTTAAAATGAAATATTATCAACATTTATATATGTTTTCGTATTACTGTCTAACAGTAAATAAACATTTTATACTCCTATTTAAACATTTCCAATGACTAAGCCTAAATGGCAAAGTTTGTCGAGAAAATGTCTAATCCTACATCTAATGACTGGATTCCTTTGCATTTAATTAACCACTACGGAGTTAATCTATTATTATAATCTATGTCATGAAAATATATACCTCATTTAACATTTATACGTACAATAATTTCTCTATCGGATAACAATATACAGTTTAACAATGTTGTTACAAATCCAACAAGGACTTTGAATGTGTATAATTATGGCAAGATTATCCCTACATGCATGGAAAAATAAATAAATATGGCACTGAAATTTTACAAGTTCCATATACAGGGCGAGCTACAACAGGACACGTCATCACGTCTGAAATTATTAAAGTAAGTGTCAAGGGCCACCGGAACTTTAGGCCTAAACCCCTAACGTTATTGTTAGACACCCCTCTGTATATTTATGATTTAAACATTTCAACATTATAGAGTTATTTTATATTTAAAATACATACAATTTCGATATGCATACATTTTGTAGACTTTCACAGTAACAAAGTAGAAAATTATAAGAAATTGTGCCCTTTAATAGCAATTAATTAAGTAGGTATAAAATACAAAAAGTTTATAAATATAAATACAATCTATTTTGCGGCTGCCCAACAGTCTTTTCTAAGAAAATAAATTTCCGTCGTACTATTTACAGAACACAACGATATAGACGATTTCAGTATTAAAAAATAACCAACGTTATAGTCTAAGTTTATTATTACAACATTTCCCGTTATACTACCGAGTGAGCAATCAAATTTGAGTTCGCGGGGCAACATAACCTCACGCCTGCAGAGTCGAAAAACCAAAAATTTTCCAAAATCGGGTCAAACAGACGCGGCCCTCGAGCTCAACTTCAATCGATCGTCTCAATCAGAACCAAACTCGTGCTGATAATACTGACGATACATAAAACAAATGGAGTGTCAAAAAACCAATTAAAGCCAAAGATTTTGTCGAAAACCACTAAGACACGAATGAATGTTAAAAGGGAGGATGACAGTAACACTACAGGTCCCAGACCCGCTCGGATAACTTAAAAGTGCCACTGAGACCCTCCCTGATCGTCTCATTCGTTGGGCGTGCTGGAGGCCCACCTGTCGAACTCGATGCCCGAATCTGGGCTCACTCCGATCTGCGCCAAAGGACTGAGAAAGTCCATGTGCTGTCGGCATTTGCAGTTTTCGGTTAGACCGCAGTTCGGGCATGCCCCCCTGGGCCTGGTCTGCTCGGGTTTGCCGCTGCTTCGGCTCTTCTGCTCCTGCTCGATCTTCTCCATGAGGGCGACCGGGCTCTGGGAAGACACGTTTAACTTGAGTTCGCGTTCGAAGTTGTACAGCTGCTCCATGAAGTGGAAATTAGGAGCTATGTTGGATTTGCGCGCACGAACAACGTTGAAGGCATCGTTCAGGTTCAGGGAGCATTTGTACATTAGGTACGCCACTGTTATGGTGACGGAGCGGGAGATGCCGGCGAGGCAGTGCACGAGGATGCCCTTCTGGTTGGACCGGGCCTCATCTAAAAAAAAAAATACTTATTTAGTGGAAATATTTTTAAAGATAAAAAGTATATTTTTTTATTGCCAAATAAGGGTGAATTTCCTTTTTGGGATAGATGGCGCAAAAAAAAACCGGTCGGTGTCAGTTATGAAAAATGGGATAGTGTAAACACGACTTATAAGAATACAAAAATAAAACACCATTCAAATAATGATGGAACTAAAGACATAACAAAAAGATAGATCGTGGCTAAAATGCAACAGGAAAAGAGCTTAATGGAGACGTTAAAAGTCTAAAACAAGATAAATCAAATGTGCTTGACTGAGTCAACTTTTTCAAACTTTACTTTATTACTATCAACTTATACATCATTTTACAAAAACTAGAACTCCGTTTGAAACACCTAACATTCTTCGTCTTGCCCTCCTTGTGGGGGCGGTTGATTCCATCCTAAATCCCTGAAGATGATATCAACAAACAACTTTACGCTTAGTCCGAGTCCAAGAAATACCAAAAGCCAACTCCCCTGATACATTAGTCTATCTGAAAGCCCCTTTTTTAAATAAACCGGTACCCCATCATCCACACCGAACTTCTTTTGGTTTCGTTTAAGTTTCTCGAAGCTCTTGCGAACAACTTCCTGCGTCTCCGGCTTGTCTTTACAATAATTTCTCGATAGTAAGTGGAAAATTGGAAGCACTCTCCTCGATAAATTCATCGTGAACTTTTAGGAGCAAATTTAGATGGTGACTGACAGTTCGTCACGTTTATCTGACATTTTTGTTTTGTTTTCTCCACCTACTATATATATTATTGGAATTTGAAATAATAACAGTCGATTGTCTACCGTTTTCCTCAAACCCTTGGAACTTAAAATCTACACAAAGCGTCTAATGATTCGCTCCGAGCTACAGAATTGTCTTTTATGTTCAATACTCATTATTTAGAAGTAACTGAGTTTCACTCCATTGTCTCCGTTACGTGTATACCTGTAATTGTAGAGCAAGACACGAACCGTTGACTTAATAAAAGCCTTGACAGTTCTGAAAATTAAATGAGAATGAGGAAATAACAGTAGGGTATGCAACTGTTTACTCGATGTATTGAAATTAGTTATGTAAGATCGGTACGTAGAATTCCAGTTAAAACTTCGTATTTTGCAGAGACGCCATTGTTTTTACGTTAAAGGTGGCAGCTTAACTTGACTCACAATACGCGCTTCCAACCGTAATTTGATAAAATGCATCAAAATTAATAAAAATATACACTCGAAAGTTATCACGGCAATAATAATTAGGGGAAGCCTGCCTAAGATAGCATCCCCACAAATTTTTTGGACCATTTGAATTTCGTGGTTAAATCACCTGTTCAAGAAATTGTGGTTACTGGTAGATAAATGCCTACAAACCAGTGTGCGCATCGGCTGTTTCTGAAGTCAGAAAAAAATGTGAAAAACCGGTCACTATTAAAGTAAGTTTTCCACATTAATAAAATTGAAACCGTGTTTTTTTAATATGCCAAACCCACGGACACCCACTTAATTCATGTTTTCTATACATGTGCTGCTTTAATACAGGTGCTAGTTTAGGGTTATACTGTAATTGAAAAAGTACAGAGACTGGTTTCATTAAAACTTCGAATTTTCCTATGATGGCATACATAAGTTGCGTCATCATAGGCATAAGAACTTGATTTTATTACAAACTAAGAAGTCTTATTTTTACGATAGAGAAATGTCATTTACATCCTCAGTACAATGTCAACTAAGGCTAAGAGGCAAGAATAGCAGAAGAAAAACAATTGTACTATGAGGGACATGGAATCCTGGACAGTCTGTTCTTGTCATTTCAAAAAATGTCAATGTAAATGCACCTTTAGCGTCAACATGATTGATATTTTCGAAAAAACTGTCAAATTAACTTTGAAATATATCAATTTGTTCAACAAACCAGCTGTATCAATTGTTAACAAATCAGTGTTATGAGAATCATTGAAAGCACACAGTGCTGCATGTTAATATAATTGAAACAAATTTAATAAAACTTTGACTTTGTCAGTGTCAAAATGACAAATACGCTAAACATTAAAAGCGTGGTTATGAGTAGAAGATTTGGTTTAGAAATTTTGACAATTGTATGACACCTCTGTTCAGTTTTCCGTGTCCCCGATTACCATCGGGGACTTTCAAACGTAACACTTATTTTGACAAATGATATAAACTCTGAGAAAAGCACTTGCTAAGATAAGACTGATTTTGCCCCTATTAAACTTGTAAAAACTTGTTAAATTTAAATTGCAAATGTTTAAAGTAACGAGTTAAATCTGATTAGATATTTATTTTTTAACAACTCAGTCATTAATTTTTCTGAGACACCCGGTATAAGCAAATTTAAAAAATATTAATGCAGTGATAAATCACAAGTATAGATTCATTGTATTTTATTTAAGATAGGATATATTCGGCAATATTTTGAGGTGACGTCATCATTTTTTTTAGGGGGGATGAGCAAATATTTTGATCAAAAATTTACCTTGCTTATAACTTTAAAACATCTCTATTTGCAATTTTTGGAGTTTTAAAGTTTAAATTTTTCAGTTTTTAATTTTCCGATTTGAGTTTCTCGAATTTTCAATTTTTAATTGTTCAATTTGTCGTTTCGGTTTTTTGTTTGTTTATTATTTCAATTATTCGATTTTTCAATATTTCGTTTTTACAATTTTAATTTTTTTAAATTATCGTTTCTAAAGTTCTTTGATTTTCAGTTTTTTAGTTCAAAATTTCTTGAGTTTTCGATTTTTGATTTTTCAATTTTTAGGTATTTTTAATGTTTCATTTCTTTAAATTTTCGATTTGCAATTTTTCGTTTCTGTTTTCCATTTTCCATTTTTTTTGTTTGTTTTAAGTTAAAAATTTTCAGTTTTTAAATTTTACAAATTTTGAATTTTTCAACTTATAGATTTTGCGATTTTTCGATTTTAGTTTCTCCAATTTCCAATTTTTCGTTTTGTTTTTATAATTTTTTATTTTTTCAATTTTAATTTTTTCAGTTTTTCATTTCCTAATTCTTCGATTTGTGACTTTTCAATTTCTCAGTTTAAAATTTTTCGAGTTTTTAATTTTTAATTTTTCAATTTTTAGATTTTTTAATTTCTCATTTCTTCAAATTCTAGATTTGCAATTTTTCGAGTTTTTATGTTTAAATTTTTCAGTTTTTTAATTTTCCAAATTTTGAATTTTTCAATTTTTAGATTTTTTAATTTTTTACTTCTTTAAATTTTCAATTTGTAATTCTTCGTTTCTGTTTTTTATTTTCTTTATTTTTACATCTCCAAGATTTCGAAGGATTCGGTTATTCAGTTCCTGATTAAATCAATAAAATAGATTCACGCATTCATTATGCGACCAATATGAGATCTGGGGAGTAAAAGACCAGTATTTAGTTGGCAGATGGAAGATGAATTTGCTCAACATACATATTTTGAACAAATTGTATTTGCTAAGGTAAGTCTTATTTTGGCAAATGATATATCCTCTAAGAAAATAGGGGGCGGGTGGGCGGGGCTTGTACTTGCTAAGATAAGACTGATTTTGGCAAATGTCATACCCTTTAAAAAATAGCGGAGGGTGGGCGGGGTTAGTACTTACTAAAATAAAACTTATTTTAGCAAATGACATATCCTCTGAGAAAATAGGGAGTGGGCGAGGTTAGTACTTGCTAAGATTGGACTAATTTTGTATAAAGGATATGGAAACCAGGTTTTTCGGTTTACCATTAAAAAATTAAAGTTAATTTTTGAATTTGTAACTACAAATAATATAAAAAACCCTTTTAACAAAGAAAACGAAACACCTCCACTGTTTTCACAAGCAATCAATAAAGACAATAGCGCTTTATATTTTAAATCTGGCAATGACGTGTCTAGTGTTGAAGAGAAGAGTATGGAGCACCAAATCAACGCGGACGAATTTCTTGGGGACGTTAATGGCAATATTATGTTGTGTTCCAACGTCCTGAAGACGACAGTTTTCAAACTGGTAAACCGCTAATACCTGCTAAGATAATACCATCTAAGAAAATAAAGTAGTGGGCGTGGCTAGTATGTACTTGCTAAGACTAAACGTATTTTGGCAAATGATATAATCTCTTAAGAAAATAGAGGGCGGGCGGGTGGGCGGAGTTAGTTTTTGCTAAGACTAATTTTGGCAAATGATATACCGTCTAAGATAATAAAGTAGTGGGCGTGTCTAGTACCTGCTAAGATAAGACTGATTTTGGCAAATGACATGATCATTAAAAAAATAATTACTAATACTTGCTAAGGTAAGAGTTATTTTGGCAAATGACATATCTTCTAAGAAAATAAGAGGGCGGGTGGGCGGGCTTAGTATTTGCTAAGATAAGACTAATTTTGGCAAATGATATACCATCTAAGAAAATATAGTGGCCAGTACTTGTTGAGATAAGATTGATTTCTTAGCAGGTATTAGCTGCGCTCACCCGCCCCCTATTTTTTTAGAGGGTATATGATTTACCAAAATCAGTCTTATCTAATAATGTAATAGCCCCGCCCACCCACCCTCTATTTTTTTAAAGAGTATGTCATTTGCCAAAATCAGTCTTATCTTAGGACGTTCTAGCTTGGCTACGTTGGCTGACTGATGATTGGTCGTCTACGAACGGTTGGAGTTACCAAAGAATTGAGGCCGGTAGTGAGTTCTATGGCTCGAAATCTCCAAGAAAATGTATTTAGTTAAGTTTCGAAAATGGTCAAAAACCGGTCGAAATTTAAACAAGGGGGGACAACTGGAAAATGTTTACTTTTAAAAAATGTATCCAAAAATTCTCAAAAAATTCAGAGTTATAGATCTTGACGTGCTAATCCCAAAAATCCAAAATCAGTCTTATGTTACCAGGTACTAATAATTTTGTTGTGTAATTCTAAATTAAATGAAACGTTTCAGGTTATTATAAAATGTGTTTAGACAGTGTCGAAATGCATCACCGATGCTCAATACTA